CTGTGGGCCTTTAACTTACAGTGTGGTCGTAAACGCAGACGAGTTTACTGCGGTGGCCCGAGTTGACTTCTCCTCACATCTTTCAGGACACTGCAATCCGTGCGTTGTCTCTGGAGGGAGTGAGTCAATCTCAGCAGCAGAAATCATCCCCGCGGGTGATCTGTCTCCGCTCTTGACAAGGCTCCTCGGGCACTTATCTTTCCTTCCCCTCGCCGACTACGACCCTCCCTCCCTCCGCTCGTCTAGTGCCCTCGCTCTGCAATTAACTGCTCATCATCAAAGGCGGCAATGAAAAGCAGTCAGACTGAGGTAGTGAATCTGCGACTGCGGCAGATAAGACTGAAGCCAGAGGACTAAACAAAGATATGAAGCTGTCTGTTACAAGCAAAGTGTGTGGCAATTAGCGGTTTCAAGGTGTTACTCGGTTCAAAATGCCAATAGGAAACCATATAAAAACTCCTGACAGTGTTCAAAAGCGTTTTTATTGCCTTTTGAAAGAATTGACCTGTAAATACATTTTAATGATGACGAGGTGAAGTGTATACTATCAAACTAAAACCGTGACTGTTAAAATATTTTGTCATATCTGTAAAAGACAAGTTCTGAGTCCTGCTGTTAAATCATAGCTTTCAGCAACACATATCACCAGAGGAGAAGAAGTTATGACAACTGTCTGAAGAAATTGAAATGGAAAACAGGAGAATTTTCAGATGCAAAAACTGATTTTATAATATCCAAATTACAAGTATTATATATAGATTTCAATAAAAACAACAACAATGATAATGATAAGAATAATGTATTATTTAAGTAGCGCTTTTTATGACATCCAAAGATGCTTCACATGGCATTATTCACTCGTTTCACAGTGGTGATAAACTTCTGAAACTACTTATGAATTGTATTGTATTTATTGTATACCCTAGTACTAAAACAGTAATATTGAAACCGTAAACTTGCCAAAGCTAAGAAAGTTTGACAATGGGATTACTGCCATGACTGCTGTTAATGCGAGGCATATTGTTCATCTCTATAAGGTCAGACTTCTCATCAGAATCTCTCGGCCTATTTGAGTTGAATCCTCCGCGCTTAACACCTCGGTGACGCACAGCTTGTATTCAGAATCGCACTCGCATTCTGGGCACACGCAGACAGCAGCGTCTAACAGAGGAATGATATCCCCCCAGGAGATTTTCCGCTGCACCTCGGCCTTTTGTTTTGATTTCTCTCTCTCTTCCCCCCACACGCCTCCTCCTCCTCATTTTCTTTGAAGAACAAGAAGTATTGCTGTACACGCGGGGAAGCTGCTCTGTCGCTATCCTCACTGTAATTTTTTCCCCCCTCCTCTCCCTCCTCAGCCCCTGGTTCAGAGAGCTGTCAACTGTGACCGCCACTGAAAGGATGTCACAGAGAGGGAGCAGAGATGGAGACTAGGGGGGGATGAAAGGCAGTAGAGGGGTTGGGCTGTCGAGATGGAGGTCCCTAAGGAGGGCACCGGGGAGCGATGGCATGCTTGTTTCTTTGTGCCCGAGCAAACGCGACAAACAACGCAGCGAGAGGAGGTGATGGAGACGAGAGGAGAGGGAAAGAGGCAGCTCAGGGGGAGGGACTGGGTCGGTGCTGCTAATTAAGCGTGGCACTAGTGCTCCGTGGCACTGACATAATTGGCCCTTGTTGGTGGTCCTTGGCGGGGTGCGTTCAGTGGAGGAATTTAGGTCCAACATGGTGTAATAACATGGTGAATGGTCCCTGATGTAACACTAAAGTAAGTCTGCTCCTGCTCCCTCCAAATCTGCGATTCTCTGTGTCTGCCATAGCGGCCTGGAGCTACTGTAGACATGTGTCGCCTGTGACGCACAGGGATCCAGCATCTGCTTTTTCAGCCATACGCAAAGCATCATACGCACATGGAAGGGCAGTCATTTTCACCCACTGACTCCTTAGACTTTGGCCCTGTCTTACAATGACATAGTTTGAGGGATTTCAAATATCACATCAACATATTCACATTTTCAGATGATTATTACATTGTCTCTCAAATCACTTCATATTATTGTTATTGGGTAATTAAGATTAACAACATAAGTGTTGCTGATATGATAGAGTTAGGGTTCTTTGTCAATACATATACAGGGCTGCAACAAACAATTATTTTGATTATTTCTTTACCTTGTTACTCTCTTTTTGATTTATCATTTAGTTGTTTAGAACACGGATATTTGATTGTATAAGTCTGATGCAAAAACATATTAATCAAAAAATATCTTCAGACTCTTATCATAGAATTGTTTTTTTGTTACTACTGCTTATACTTGCTGATTATTGATAACAACTCGATTAGTTACAGTTTTAATTTCAAACAGCCCTATATATATTTGTTCTTCCTAAAAAATAAGCCACATAAAATGAATTCTTTTTTTTCTTTTATGATTTTCAAACCAATACCACTGATCATCTCCAACACGGTGGATGTTGGTGGAATTGCAGAGCCCTGTTTCTAATTAGTGTAATTATTATGTGATTATCAACACTGCCGGCATTTAGCAGGAGTATAAACAGTACTTACAAGTAACAATTTTCTCGACCGAAGAGATTATTATTTACAAATTGACCAAATCGTAATACGTGGTCAAATGTAATCAATTGCATGGTTATGTTTACGTAACGCCACACTGTCAAACCACGTCCGTCAAGGTGTGTGCGGCTTGTCAGCTCAACACAAACAGTGGAAAAAGCACCGAGCATAAATGAAACTGTTGAACGGAGTGGAGCCGAGAGCTTATTGAAGCGGACATTTTAATCAGCTGGCCTCCAGAGCTGAGGCTGATGTGTGAGGATGTTGAGGAGCGGATGCTGAGGAGAGGGGAGGTGGGGGGGGTTTGCTGATGCTTTGAAGGAGGGTCTGTGGTGACAACAGGGTCTGGCTAGTGACACCTCCAACAGCTGCTGGTGAATTCTGGATGAAGGGGAGGAATCACACAGAACACAATGACAGATCCAGTGTGATCAAAGCGCTTCACCCACAAAGAGACACGCTCCAGGCCAGTGTTGGTTCTCCTGCGAAAACTTTTCTCACCAAGAAGTGTCTGTTTGGCTTTTGACCAGATCTAAAGCATGGTTCAGTTCCCATTCAGATTGCGCCATCTTGGAAAAATATGCAATAGCAATTTTGATATCCTTTCTGTTATTTTGAGTCAAAATAACAACTTAATATGAATACCTCATACACAAATCCCATACGTTTTGAGAAAATGTGCGTAGAGTTCTAAGCTATTGTTGAATCATATTTCTGTAGCAAAATTAAACGGAAAATTGTTTATATATCTTTATACGCAATAGAGCTGTTGCTGAGCTTCCTCAAGAACCTTCCTGGATTTTAATAGTTATAATACATATAGTAGATCTTTACGGATCTTTCTTCACCATGTGTGTCCTGCCATTTCTTTTCTCAAGGCTGAACACAATCTTAAGGCCAATTCATGTTTGACGTTACCATTATTGTCCTCCAGGGAATAAATTGTGTTGAAAGGCTGAAAGATGTACAATATCTTGATTTGAAAGCATTCATTGGCTGTGGGTTTATACATTGTGCACCTGCCACACACCTCGGCTGCTGTTTGCTTTGTGCACTCCTCTGGTTGGCACTGCACACATCTCTGCTGCTTCCTAGATTACCAGGTTGTTGACACACACCCTCCCAGTGCATTTGAGTGTGTGGGATTCATTTCACTGAACAAATTGGTGTCAAACATCTCACTAACTCTCCTAGGGCCTAATCAATAGGGAATTCATGTTGTGAGTGGGTGTCATCTCTCCATCTGTGTCCTACTTGTTACAGTACCAAGCATATCTCGGTGCTGCCAGCCATCTGCCAATTTTTGTGTGTGCTCTTATTGTCATTTAGATTTGCCAGGCAGCTTGGCATAACAGAAGCTGCTTACTCCTCCACGCAACACCACTGCACTTGCTGTTGATGATGTGCATAGATAACCTGTTTGTTAACGCACATAGACGAACGCAAATTATGATCAGGGGGATAAGATTTATGTGTATGTCGAATATTTTGTTACATTTTTTTCCAGTTGCATTGTGAACAAAGGCCTAACTTTAAGATGCACTCCGTAAAAAAATGGGTAAACAAATATCCGAAGCCATGCCTAAAGCTGCCATAAGACAATACCAAGACTGATGTTCTCTGAGTTGTAAACAAATTGGCACAGAAAATTACGATAGCGGGGGGTGAACAGCCTGCATGCACTCATCATGATGTGTTTTTGATATGTTGTCATGGAAACATATACTTCTATTTAGACTGTATATGGGTAGATATTGCTAACTTTTTTATCCAATTCCCTCTGATTCCAATTGACTTATATTGAAATGTAAACTCCTCTTGCCCAGTAACCAAATATGAGCCCTTACAATCAAGGCGTCCTCTGTCTCCAAATTTGGGTGGAGCTACCGGAGACAGACCATCACCGCTGCTGAAATCCCTCTTGGTTGCTCGGTCCAAAAATGATACAATACAATACAATTTATTCTTGTATAGCCCTAAATCACAACAGCAGTCATCTCAGAGACTTAACAAAACCATTGAAATCACCAACACAGATCAGAGAATCAACAGTTAAAACACATGAAGAATATAGAACACATGTTGATAAATGTCATACATGTTGTAGAATGTTAGTGTTCTGGATCATCTCCACAGTCCTTCTAGACCACAGATGCAGACCCTCCTGCATCGGCAAGGAAAAACTCACAAGAAACCCAGTGGGGGGAAAAAATAGTTAGAATACATACAGTATATCTGGCATCATATTCCTGCTCAAAAAGTCTGTTTGCGTTTACTCTCAACTTATTGCGACTTCTTCCGCAATAAGAAAAACATTATGGGTGATGTTGCGTGAGCAGGAGTTATTCTGTTTGAAGTCTTGAATTACTGTTGAAATGTTGTTTTAAGGGACATAATAACTGAATTGTATTGTTTCTGTCTTTAGGTTGATAAGACGGGAAGAAATGACCTTAGTCTTGTCCATGAATCCCTTTTTGGACCCAGAAGGAGACCCTCCTCTCGCCACACTGCAGCACATCTGGGAATCAGAACGATGTACCAAGAGCTGTCTGTCAACCTCCTCCCCACCGTGCAGCTCCGAGGAGCCGTTTACTCGAGGTGTGTTCACAGCGCGTCACAGATGTTCCTGTGGATACTTGAACTATAAGTGCAGTAGGTGCACATCAGACAGTGTGAGGTGTGATGTTCAGCAGGAGCGCACGTGAAGTCAAGTGCAATCAGGAATCTTTCTTTGCAATCAGCACTTGGCAGTACATGAACATTCATTCTAACATGTATTTATAGAATGAGCTTGAAATGATGATACAGACTCAGCAGGTCGCCCACATTAGGGCAAGCCATTCTTGTATTGTTCATATATCTATTCACAATCAAACATGTTTAATAATAATAATGATAATATATTGTATTGTAAAAATAAACAGGTTAGGTGTAGACAGTTTTGAACAGGTGGGTTTCGAGCAGTGATTGAATGTTTCTGTTCTTTCTTTTAGAGCCTCATTGTCGACGAGTCCCTGATCATGTGTCATTGTCAAGAATTGCCTACTTTAAGAGAAAGTTTATCGATGACGAAGACGAGGCCCCTTTCAGGTTTCGGACATACTGCCAGAGCGTGAGTTTGCATTTCTTTATGAATGTAGTCATGTCGTGCACAAGTCCCTCTGCTCACAGACCGATGTACTTACAGGTCGCACCGGTGCTGGAGGAGCGGGCCCACGTGTTGCGACTCTCAGTTGAGAAGATGAGATTTATAGATGATCCGGAGGCCTTTTTGCGCCGCTCGGTTCTCGTCAACAACCTCCTGCGGCGTCTGCGAGCCGAGATCCTGCTCCAGAGCACAGACTGGTGTTTCCCTCCAAACCCAGCATTAGCCGCTGGGCCCTGTGTGATCCCTCCCAGCTCCAGTCCAGCTCACCCTGCACTCCATGGCTCTATTCCCCCCAGGATCTGCCTGCCCCCCCAGGCCGGACCTCCCCACCGGAAGCGCTACCGCATGATGCGTAGCCAGGGCTTTCTGCGGCCGGACTGTGCTCAGACCTGCTGTTGTCTGTATGCAGCCGCTGCAGCAGGACACTACCTCCACCTGCCCTTCTCCATGTACGACGCAGCACTCTCAGCCTGCCCCCCCACTCAACACTCCCCCTCCTTCCTCCAACTGGCCAACCACAGCAAACTGGGCTTCACCATCGATGTGGATGATCACGATGAGGAGGAAGAGGAGGCAGAGGGAGAGGAGGAGAATGAAGATGATGAAGAGAGAGAAGAGGAGGAGGAGGTGGAGGAAAGACAACAAGCAGGGACCTCCTTTGATTTAATGAACAAGTCCAGTTCAAGAAGGACTAGAACTGCTCCTGGCAACAAACACTCTCTCAGGACTGAGGAAAAGCGTGTGGCACACAGTAGTAAGGACGACGAAGAGGAAGAGGACACGGACATCTCAGAAAAACACCTCCACAAAGTTAGCATTTGGCCCAGACGAGCTTTTAAACAATAATGTTGTGGAAAGATGTCTATAAAGCCATGAACGTGTCAATGGTGAGTAGAGGTATAACCTGGTGCCGTTGTCACTCTGGATGGTTCAGACATGGCTGATCTATACTTTATCTTTTCCATTCAAAGATGTTTGTCTGGTATCTTCTTTTTCTAGAAGTGAATTTTAATGGATGTAAATAAAAACAACCTCAGCATCTCGTATAACATCAAAATATGTGGTTTTAGAGAATCACAAAGGGATAAGTGTGATGGTACGAGACGTACAGTACTCTCTCGGTACTGAATACAATAAGTCTGGTTAGTTGCTTCGCAATTGAACACAATGTTTTCACAATATTATTTGTTGACTGCCACAAACTTGTTGGAACATTTTTGTTGGCTTCAGAATAGCGATAGTAGTGATAAAAACTAAAGGTCAAGGAGGTGTGACCTCCATTTTCTATAAATTCTAGTCTATTATGACCCATTGAAGCTTTATTTTTATAGGCTTTAGACGGCACCGCTTTGAGCTTCACTCGACTGCAGACGGCATCTTTTGACCTCCGCACTGGAAACAATTTCAAACAAAATATTTAAAGGTCATCTTGAAAAAGATTGTAGATTTAGACATTTGAAACTTGCACTGTCTCCAAGACCATTTCAAGAACTTCAGCACAAAAACAGAAAACGTATTTAGGCTTTATCTTGGTGCGTTGGTCTGTGGACCCTAAACACGCAGCTCCAATGAAGGAATGTGTGCTTGTGTGTGTGTCGTGAACTAAACAATGTAGCATCTTTAAACTTGATTTCAGCAGTTTCACAGAGAGCCGAGTGCAGAGGTTGTATTATCGATGTCTCAGGCAACAACACACAACTGCTGCAAAGATGGCACAATGATTCAAACAAAACAATCAATGTTACAAATGTACATGTCTCTAAAGAACACAAGTGCCTTATTTTTAATAGATCAATGTGGTTCATCATTTTGTTCTTTTTGTAGCTTTTCTTGCATTCCCACTGACTGCACTTGACAAAAACAGGACACAAACACATCCAACGCAGTCTTAATGACTTGGGCTAAATTTTTTTTCACGCCCAAATATACCAAGTGAGTTGTTGCATGTTTTAGCACTATCTACATCGCTCTGTGCGTTGCATAAAGAAGGCTACAGTTGGTAATAGTCCTACAACCCTCAATTTTTATAAACATTAATTTGCAATTTCCCAACTTCTGACAAACACCTCAAATAACATGATTAAACGCATCATTTCTCACAGTCATAAACTTTGCCCATACATTTTATCTTTCATGAGTTACTGAGCCAATCAAGAGCTGATTCTCCATGAGCACTTTTCTCCGAGCCGATCCTTTGTGTCCTGATGCCGTAATGAGTGGTGTCTTGTGTGTCATTGTATTTTGTTTGGCACTTCAGAAGAATAGGCTGCTCACATTGATAACCGCCCAAACCAAAGTTTATCTAAAGTTAGCTCTGTCAACTGCATTTTTCATTTTTCACACCTCAATAGTTTGCAGAGTTCATTTTATTGCCATATTCTCTACACAACTTTATTTTTTGTACTGTATCCTTCTGTGCAGATCACATGCTACACATTACAGTCAGGCGCAGCTCCGGGTAACAGACATATTGGGACACGCTTCTTAAAGGGACAGTGTGTAGTATTTTCATTTCAAATCGCTACGTTTTTCTTTTATGTCATCAGATTTGGTCGTTTCTGCACAACAGTTTAAGATTAAGAGTTATTCTTCTTTTGAAATACATTGGCCACTATGTCCATAATACTTTCAATACCTAATACTAAAAAAAAGTAAAAACAAAACAATAGCACCGCAACTATTTGAATGAAAACACATACAAAGTCTAATGTAATACATAGGGTTTGTACTTTTTCTAGCTAAACCCAGCAGGTGGTTTACATCTGTAATTCGGAGCTACATGTGTCAAAGGCTTCATTAGACCATTACAACTCTCTACACTGCACTGATAACATACTGTCCCTTTAATGAGGTTAGCATGATGGCTTCTCAAGTGTAAGGCCAAATCACGCATTACCCGATTTACTTTGGATCACGGTGCTCTTAAACAGTTTGTCAGACATTTCAGGACAAAGCAGTGGTCGTCTCAAAGTGAGAGGGGAGAAAAAAAAAACATTTAAAATGCATTGTTGTTATATTTTAAAAAAAAGCAACAGAAGAGCGAATTGGCTCTGAAAACGTATGTGATGTTTTGTGACAAGTGTAAGTAAAAAGAATTGTCGCCAAAGCGTGGCCTGCGTGTGTTTTGTGGACGTGTGGACTCCTGCTTTTGTCTTGCTTCCTGATGTCATGTTGCTTGTGCAGTGGAGTGCGCCGCCGCGGTGGATTGCCAAATGTCTCTCAGGTGTCACTTTGCCACTCAATTCTGGTTAATCTCTTTGACATTAGCCTCGGTGCAGTCACCTCCACACTTCATGTCGCTCCTGTCCCTGCAGTAGACTCACAGCGCTGCACTGTGTATCCGTATTGACAAAAGAAGTGGGCAATGATTTAAACACAACCATAGCTTTGGAGAGAATTAAATCATGGATATTCATATGACATTACCAGATAACAGGCAACTCAAATACCTTACAGTAACAATATGTAAGATAATTCCAATACTTTTTTAACTGATTACAGTGGTTCAGCCAATATATTTGAATTTCAAAATTAGTATTACGCCCCCTAAATCTGGTTATTGTTTTCATTTCGATGTCCCGCCCTCCACTGTTTCACCAATCAGAAAGTCCTTAATTCAGAACTCACTGTGTCAAGCTAATCTCATTGGTTATGTAACATGTGGCCGCAGAACTAAAAAAGGTCTTGTTATGATTCTCAAATTATTAACGACAAAACAAGGAATAAAACAAGGTGTGAAGAAGGTGTTAAAGATCTGCTGTTGACAGAACTCTTGTCTATTCAGCTATTATGGTGCGGGCGGCACGGTGGCTGAGTGGATAGCACTCTCGCCTCTCAGCAAGAAGGTCCTGGGTTCGAATCCCAGTTGGACCAGGGCCTTTCTGAGTGGAGTTTGCATGTTCTCCCCGTGTCTGCGTAGGTTTCCTCCGGGTGCTCCGGTTTCCCCTACCACCCAAAAATATGTACAATAGGTCTGGCATGTGCCTCCTGTACTGGCGACCCCGCTCCCAAAAATAACAATTGTAAACCGCTTTGAGACTCCGATGTGCAGTGAAAAGGCAGTATATAAAAATAAAGATTACTATGGTCCCAGCTGGATTTGTCTGCATATCTGGCAACCTGAGTCAGGGAGAGTGGGAGAGGTTGCAGTACTACTTTTGGCCAGATGTATCCATATTGCTCCTTTAAAGGAAGATAGTTTGGTAAAGGTAGGGTTTAAGAAGTGATGTGAAAGAGGGTACTGATGGTATCTGCGTAGGACGTCTAAAATCTACAACTTTAGCAAGACTTGCGTACAAAGTATAAAATTCTGTATATTCTTGTGCAAGTAATATATAGTTGTGTATTGCCATTTTCAGTAAAACCACTTTGGAATACATTAAAAATGTCCAGTTTGCACAAGTACAGAAATAAAACAAACAAAACGGGAAACAATTGCTATTGTGAAATCGAGACGTCCTGCATCTACAATATCTTCTGCCAGAGGGAAGAAGCTGGAACATCGCTTTTCCAGGGGCCAGAAGAGTCACTGATTATTCTAAGAGCTTGGTTTAAAGTCTGGATTCATAAAGAAACTCCAGAACAGGCAACTCACAATCCTCTTTTAGAGTGGAGCATCTTAATGTTAGCTGCATGAGGGTCTGGGACGACGTGATTCAGTAAAGCTACATAAAGATTACTGACTGACTTAATTACAACTTACATTGTGACCTAAATCAGCCCACTTTCTTTCCCATTGAGCCTAAATATAGTATAGTTGTGATGCGAGGAGCAGCCCAGACCGGTGCGAGCCTACAGTCTTGTGTTTGTGTGGGCTGTGTGAGGGAGGATGTACTAACAGCGGGAAGTGGGGAGGTTAAATCACAGGTCTGAACATCTTGACAGCTCTGTTGCGAGGTGAGAAGGGAAGATCATCTTTTTCACGACACTTGTGCCGCAGGGGTGTGCGTCTCCTGCCGCTCTGCTCTGCCCCCATGCTTCTGTTGTTTCTTACTTTGAGTGAAATGATTTCATATTAGAGATGTCGCTGAATGATGCAGTCGGAATAACAATTAGATGAGGAGAATACATCTTTTCACAACAGAAAGTAGCCCGAAAGCTCTCAAAATGTTTCACTAAGTTTCGTACCACAGCTATTAATGGATTCCTAAAGTACCAAGATTATGGATTAAATATTGGTCTAAATTTAACTAAAATATGACAAAAAAATTACAATTACAATAACATCTTGGTCTGATCCTAGTGGCTGCAGTTTCCTAGGTTGAATTCCCTCTGACCAATCAGCGAGCGGGGGTTGTAGGTCGGTGTCAACAGTTTGCGCCAAATTTGCTGGTTGTAGTTTGGCAAGGCCGGCGAATGCGATTGTAAAGTAATCCGTTCTGGTTCGGCTCCAAATAGCTAAAATTAAAGCCGGAGCAAGAGGAATGTTTAGAAAATGTGGCTCTACTCCCCACAAGCTCCTTTAGAAGCAAAGGAGATGGCTAAATCTCGGCTAAATGCTAAAGCTAGGCTATATTCTAGCGACTTACTCGGGCGCATTACATACATCACGGTAAACTCCGATCCAATCGTTTCAATTTGCAAAAGGGGTTAACCCCTCCCACCTGTTACTGGAGCTCACTGAAGCAAATCCTTAGTTCAAAACCTTAGGGTTAGGGGTAAATTGGTACAATGGTGTGGTAAGACCAGACTAGGTATAAACCATGCTACTGTCAATGGTAGAAACATTGCAATACGAGTGAAAAACCAATATATTCATAATAATCTTGATCATCTTGGTTGAAGGGACAGTTAAAGGACATTAAGATCAGACAGAGGGGCGACAGTAGCTCAGTTGGTAGAGCATTGGCCTTAAGGTCGTGGGTTCAATTTCCACCTCTGCACCTTCTCCACCAACTCCCACTGATGACTGCTGTCGTTGTGTCCTTGGGCAAGACACTTAACCCCACTTTGCCCAAAGCCCCCACTGAAAGATCAAGGCTATGCTCACACTCAGAGAGCAGCCGTCCTCCTGTGGACTCACCACCTGCAGAGGGTCAGTGAGGGGCTGGTGCTATGAGACTTGGGTGGCATCTCTGACTGTCACCCCCCTGACCCAGAAATGGATTAAAGGGTAGAAAATGGATGGATGGAAGATCAGACAGATATGTTCTGACCCAGATTATAGCTATTTTCCATCTGAGGTCCCTGGTTACAGAGAAATAACTAAACATTTATTATAAGTTATAAATTACTTATAAAATACTGTTTGTCTCATGCTTATATACAGCCCAAATAGCCCAAAGGAAGATCAACAAGTCGAGCGCAGACCTCTGCCAAGGCAATTTCTTTCTTTCAATCAAGGCTTTATACCACTGAAACCTCTGCCATTTAAAATACTAAATAAAGTACATGTTCAATAGGTTCAGCCTGCACCTCCTGTAGGCGACCCTGCCCTTTCACTGTGTGGAGGGAGAGGACGAATGCCCACAACAAAGCACTATGAATGTTGCTATATAAATAATAATTTAAGAGAGCAAAGTATTCCCTAACGTTGGTTGTATTAATGCTGTCGACTGCAGATATCATCCTGAGAGTTGTTGATGAATGACCTCATACAAATAACAACAGCCCACATTTCTTTTCAGCTTCTACAATCGTATAACCCATCACCACGGATACATATCTTTCAGGATCCACTCGGGCTAAATGTGACATTGTCGCTGCTGCTGCGGTGACTATGTGCCTACAACACAATGCTTTCTCTGTGTCTTTCTCTTTCTGTCCGTCCTGCCTGAGGCCAGGGACTTGCCAAATAACATACACTTACACACATACACCAGGGCCAGAGCCGAGCTGTCATTTGTCAACAAGGAACTTTGGCAGCTCGCCGTTGCCATGGGAACTGTCTGTTACTGAGGACTGGTTTTGCATCACAAGGTCTTCAAATTGGCTCCAAAGCCTCTAAGGTCCCCCCCCCCCATACCTCACAGCTTCAACCATATTGTAAGCTTTTGTCTGCTCCGCTTAGCCTTCGCAAATGCGTGGTCAAGTTGGATGAGAATTGCATTGCATACAAATAAACACGTATTTGTATCAAGGATAAGTCACAAGGATGATCACATTTGAGCTTTTGTCATGTTTTTCACCTTGTCATTGTCGACTCCCACATAGGAAACATTTTATTCAGCTTATATAACCAGCTATGAGCGCTGCTGATGTTTCTGGGTCTCTCCATGCGACAGGATTCAGCTCGTGGATGTGTAAGTGTTGTTTGATAAACAGTTGAATTATGTCTAGGATGTCCTAAAAACTCTGAGCTGATTCCCCCTCACAATGGTTTTTGGGACACTGAGACAGACTGCAAGTTTATGTCTTTGTAAGATACTCAACTTCAAGATAAGATAAGATAGACTTTATTGATCTCACACAGGATAAATTTACATGTCACATCTGGCATGGATAAAATCACTCATAGCTACAATCAGAAAACACATGTGCCAAATGGAACCCTATGATCCAGACCAGGCGTGTCAAACTCAGGCTCGTGGGCCAAATTCGGCCTACAAAACCCTTTTTAGTGGCCCCTCAAGTGATTTATGGTAATGAGCTACCAAGGCATGTTTTACATCTATTGTCTCAAGAAAACAACCACATTCATTTTATCAAAAAAGTTCATATAAAACAATATGTTTAACTTTATACAATGTCCAGTAAATCTAACAATGAATGCATTTTGTTTTCAGAAAATTCAACCAGAAAATAACAATGAAACTCACAAAATCAAAATGGCTTCATAATGTGAAAACAATGATAAGAGACAATTAAATCCCTTCTACTCTTTTGGGCCCCGACCAGTTCCTATTTTTTTCATTCGGCCCCTAACCAAAATGAGTTTGACAGGCCTGATCTAGAACAAACACAGATTTTCTCGTGGCACATCAACAGTTTTTATAATAATTTCTGCAGTAAAATGTGTCATGCTTTTTTGTTCTTTACTATGATAGATCCATGCTTTTTCCTTTAATGCAGCCATGTTCTGATTCTGATTACAGATGAAATTGAGATAATTAGAATATTGCTCAAAAGTTGATTTATTTCTGTATTACAACTTAAAACGTGAAACCACTATGTCTCCTTAAGTAACATAATTATGCAGATGTCCATAGGCTCTGTACATCTGCAGTTAAAATGGCCAACCTTGCAGACTCTCCCCAGTGTTACACAAACCAAATATCTGGAAGCAATTTGTGTTTTTGATGTTGCAATAATGGCTCAGGAAAGAAGGGAGGTGACGCAGGGGGGGCTGAGGAGGGGGCCGCCCGGAGCATCTGCGTGGTCTGGTGTCCTCTCTTTACCTGTGTCTATATTCAGTAAGTCCTGCCGCAGCAAGCACAGACCTGGGACGGTGTATGTTTTTTTTTACGCAACTGTGTAGTAGACTGTTCTCTGAGGTTGAATTATGGCTACTGCATGTTACTTCCATCCAACATACTGTGAAACCGTCAAATACATGTTTAAATAATAATGTTAATCACTTCCTACAGTCTCACTTCCTCCAGCCTCACTTCCTCCAATCCCACTTCCTCCAGTCTCACTTCCTCCAGTCCCACTTCTTCCAGCCTTACTTCCTCTATCCGCACTTCCTCCAGTCTCACTTCTTCCAGCTTCACTTCTTAGTTGCACTTCCTCCATCCGCACTTTCTACAGTCTCACTTCCTCGATCCTCACTTCCTACAGTCTCACTTCCTCCATCCGCACTTCCTCCAGTCTCACTTCCTCCAGCTTCACTTCCTAAAGTCTCACTTCCGCCATCCGCACTTCTTTCAGTCTCACTTCCTCCAGCCTCACTTCCTCCAGTCTCACTTCCTCCAGCCTTACTTCCTCCATCCGCACTTCCTCCAGTCTCACTTCCTCCAACCTCACTTCCTCCAGGCTCACTTCCGCCTGGCTCACTTCCTCCAGCCTCATTTCCTCCAGCCTCACTTCCTCCTGCCTCACTTCCTCCAGGCTCACTTCCTCCAGGCTCACTTCCTCCAGCCTCACTTCCTCCAGGCTCACTTCCTACAGTCTCACTTCCTCCACCCCTACTTCCTCCAGGCTCACTTCCTACAGTCTCACTTCCTCCAGCCTCACTTCCTACAGGCTCACTTCCTACAGCCTCACTTCCTACAGTCTCACTTCCTAGTCTCACTTCCTACAGTCTCACTTCCTACAGCCTCACTTCCTACAGTCTCACTTCCTACAGCCTCACTTCCTCCAATCCCACTTCCTACAGTCTCACTTCCTCCAGCCTCACTTCCTACAGGCTCACTTCCTACAGCCTCACTTCCTACAGTCTCACTTCCTAGTCTCACTTCCTACAGTCTCACTTCCTACAGCCTCACTTCCTACAGTCTCACTTCCTACAGCCTCACTTTCTCCAATCCCACTTCCTTCAGTGTCACTTCCTCCAGTCCCACTTCTTCCAGCCTTACTTCCTCCATCCGCACTTCCTCCAGTCTCACTTCCTAAAGTCGCACTTCCTCCAGTCCCACTTCTTCCAGCCTTACTTCCTCCATCCGCACTTCCTCCAGTCTCACTTCCTAAAGTCGCACTTCCTCCATCCGCACTTCTTCCAGCTTCACTTCCTAAAGTCTCACTTCCTCCTTCCGCACTTCCTCCAGCCTCACTTCCTCCAGTCTCACTTCCTCAGCCTCACTTCCTCCAGGCTCACTTCCTCCAGCCTCACTTCTTCCCGGCTCACTTCCTCCAGCCTCACTTCCTCCTGCCTCACTTCCTCCAGCCTCACTTCCTCCAGGGTCACTTCCTCCAGCCTCACTTCCTCCTGCCTCACTTCCTCCAGCCTCACTTCCTCCAGGCTCACTTCCTACAATCTCACTTCCTCCACCCCCACTTCCTCCAGGCTCACTTCCTACAGTCTCACTTCCTCCAGCCTCACTTCCTACAGTCTCACTTCCTCCAGTCTCACTTCCTCCAGCCTTACTTCCTCCATCCGCACTTCCTCCAGTCTCACTTCCTCCAGTCTCACTTCCTCCAGCCTCACTTCCTCCAGGCTCACTTCCTCCAGGCTCACTTCCTCCAGGCTCACTTCCTCCAGGCTCACTTCTTCCAGCCTCACTTCCTACATTCTCACTTCCTACAGCCTCAGAGCCCCGTCCCCAGAGAGGTGTCCTGGAGGCATCCCAAACAAATGTCCGCTCTCACTCAGCAGGCTCCACTCTGTGCTGAGGAGCAGTAGCTCTACTCCAAGCTGCATGACTGATCATCGGAGCATTTATGTGTGTATACAATGACCTTACAAAGTGTTGTCCAGACACAATTCAGGACCAGAACCGGCTGTCCCACTGAGACACCTGCTTTTCAAACCAGGCCCCAACTTGTTTGCCTCCAAAATCTGACAATAGAAAATAATGTGTGCTTCCCTTGCAAAAGTCAGTAGAAATGTGTTGATATGTTTTTTTACTAGTATCCAGCTGTATCGCAGCTACTTTTGTAGAAGGCCTTATTAATGTTCTTTTTTTAAGTAACTCTCAATAGTGTAAATGATAACATGTTACTATTTACCATTACGTTGCAGATTTGAAACATTTACAGTCGGATAGATAGATGTTATAATACATACAATTCACAACCAGTTGTTTTTTTCCAGTAACTAATGTATACACAACCATTTTAGAGTAACTTTCCAACACTAGTAGGTGTTGAGTACAGTAGTTCATGGCTCAGGCGTCAGAAATAGGCCAACATCAACTCAAAAGGTTTTGTAAAATCATGTGATAAATCAAATGTTTATCTGGCCGACCTCAGGCCCCTGGAGCTGTGTGCCGTGAAACAAAGTGGAACCGTGTCATTTATTTGTTTGGGAGAAAAAACAAGTGAAGTGCTGTGTAGAGGTGGGCAAAGTGCCAGTCGGTTCCCTTCACTCGTCCAAACTTATTGTTCAAACCACACGTACACACACACACGCACACACACACACACACTTGGATTAGCCTCTTTCCCTTGGTAACACAAACCATTCAAACGCCTGTCTTGTGGACTGGAAAATCCCAAACTGCAGATGCATTTCTTTGTGTGATCCTCCATTTTCTGTGGTAAAATGGCTCAATAAATGCCCACAGACCTTTTAGAAGCGTTGCTAGAAAACCCTCGCACTCCTGACATGTATACAGTCCTGGAAGTGGCTGGATCACAAACTACTCTGTAAATTCTATTATTTTATGATGGTTGAAGCCATCTGGTTCTCCTTAGCCTAGCGTGCCTGCAAACATGCGAGACATGAGGATATGAAGAATGCATTCGTTTAGTATTCTGAAATGAAATGTTTATATTATGTGGGAGGACGAAGAGAGAAAAAAAAAGGTCAGTGAGTTTATACAAGGCCGTAGAGTCTGCATGTGTTTTGTTTCTGTGAGAATGTGCAAGGTCAATGATTACACTTTTGAAACGAGGATTGTGAGAAAAGAAACACACAAGACATCTGTGATTATTTTTGATTATGTCTAAACTGTCCTTCCTTCCATCAAGTTCACATACAGTAAGTGTTCATGGATCCAATAAACATGTGTACTTTAATCTATTTCTCTGTCTAACATTGTGCCTTTCCCAATATCCCCCTCTTCAGAATCTCTCACCTTTCACCTTTTTATTAACACTTTTATTTCTGTATAATATAATTTCTACCTCTTACTACACAATAATCTGTAATATCAATAGTAATATCAAATACATGTGCTTGTACATTTCTTCCTTGTGAGATCAATAATGTTGATCTTATCTTATGTATGTACATGCATTATTATTGATATTATTAATATTATCAAACCGAATAACTAGTAAATACATTGTGAAAGTAAAAAGAACATGGCAAAAGAACCATATGGACGGAACTATCATTATACTATAAATATATGAAGCAGCACAAATCCCTGGCGTGGAACAATAAAGTGCAACTCATTTTTACAATTTAATAAAAACCGGTGTCATGAACATTGAAGAGGTTAATATAACTGTGGGACTATGGAGGTTACCAAAAAGTGTGTAATTATCTAATATTGTAACAAAATAAGAAATATACTTTTTTTCTCCTGCTACTCTGTAACTGTAGGGCACTGTCTGACTTGGACTGTAGATGGTAGATGTAGAGATAGCTACTGCAAGTCTGACTTTTAACAATAATCCACTGTTTAAACCTCTGTCTCCTGGCATCACCATGGGCTGAAATAAATAATAAACGTACTGCTGCTAATGTACAGGTGTAAACATACTGCTGCTAATGTACAGATGTAAACATACTGCTGCTAAAATGTACAGATGTAAACATACTGTTGCTAATGTACAGGTGTAAACATACTTCTGCTAATGTACAGGTGTAAACATACTGCTGCTAACATGTACAGATGTAAACATACTGTTGCTAATGTACAGGTGTAAACATACTTCTGCTAATGTACAGGTGTAAACATACTGGTGCTAACATGTACAGATGTAAACATACTGCTGCTAACATGTACAGATGTAAACTTACTGCTGCTAATGTACAGATGTAAACATACTGCTGCTAACATGTACATATACTGCTGCTAATGTACAGATGTAAACATACAGCTGCTAATGTACAGATGTAAACATACTGCTGCTAACATGTACAGATGTAAACATACTGCTGCTAACATGTACAGATGTAAACATACTGCTGCTAACATGTACAGATGTAAACATACTGCTGCTAACATTTACAGATGTAAACATACTGCTGCTAACATGTACAGATGTAAACATACTGCTGCTAACATGTACAGATGTAAAAATACTGCTGCTAATGTCCAGATGTAAACATACTGCTGCTAACATGTACAGATGTAAACATACTGCTGCTAACATGTACAGATGTAAACATACTGCTGCTAACATGTACAGATGTAAACATACTGCTGCTAACATGTACAGGTGTAAACATACTGCTGCTAACATGTACAGATGTAAACATACTACTGCTAATGTACAGATGTAAACATACTGCTGCTAACATTTACAGATGTAAACATACTGCTGCTTATGTACAGATGTAAACATACTACTGCTAATGTACAGATGTAAACATACTGCTGCTAATGTACAGATGTAAACATACTGCTGTTAATGTGCAGATGTAAACATACTGCTGCTAATGTACAGGTCTAAACATACTGCTGCTAATGTACAGATGTAAACATACTGCTGCTAATGTACAGATGTAAACATACTGCTGCTAATGTACAGATGTAAACATATACAGTAACTACACATTACTTGCACTAGAATACACAGTACTCTATACTTTCTTCGTCTTTTGCCAAATGTACAACTTTTATATTTATTTTTATAAATATTATTTTCAAGATAGAGTTTTTATACTTATTATTGATGCTGGAGTTAGAGATTTTGTTTTATTTTAATTAGTATAGCTATTGTTCACGTAACTTGTGCTGTGTGATCCTCTTCCCCACTGTTCTAAAGCTTGAGATGCAACACTGAAATTTCCCCACTTTGGGACGAATAAAGGATCTCTCTTAATCTTAAAGGTCCATATATTTTAAATAATGCAGAATACAGACTTGCAGAAACAGCAAACACATGACTGTAAAGCCAATAGTGAGTTTGCAGCAGAGAGAGGCCACATGTGCATTCTTCCTCTCACATCTGCTTTGAGTATTAGCACCACTGTACACACGGATACATTTCAGAAACAGGAGAAGACAGAAAACAGGCCAATAACGGAACGTCCTGTTTGACAGAAAACTCTTCAAATCAGAACCTTTCATACACAACTGTTTGCACTTGCCTTGGTGCCTTGCTTTTGTTTTGTTTTGTTTTTTTTAACCTAAGAAAAATATATATATATATATATATATTTTTTTTTTTTTACAATTGAAAAGCTAGACTCACACGTATTTGTAAAACAGGGCAAATCACTCTCAGCCACAGGGTTCTCTATTTCTGACCAGTGCAACAGCGCCCTCTTGTGCCGAGTTTAAGACCTACATCCAAATTTCAGTCAATCATTTTTATTGCCACGTAAGTAACAAACAAAAGTTACCACTTGGCGTCTGTTTAAAGAAATAATACAATTTGTCCATCTCAACTACAACAATCATATCAGACCACAACATATATTTTTTTATCTGTATCTGTCTCTATTAGAAAACATCTGATCTTTGGCATACTTATTAAAAAAGGGTTTCATTTGTCTGGCTGATAAAGCTGTATGCAACTTTTGTCCAGGACCCCCTTGAAAAAGAGGTTCTTAATCTCAATGGGAATTTCCTGCTTAAATAAAACTAAAATAAAAGCTGATCTGATGATGACAGAGGCAAAAAAAACAAAACATATATGATAACAGTTTAAAAGCAAGAAACAACATAGCTATATTACACACAGTTGCCCCAACTTTAACCTACAATGTCATACGTGTAATGATTTTGCATATTTTTAGTCTCTGTTGTTTGTGACTGCCGAGCCCTTGTGAATCACTTTGGGCAGCTGCCAACTCAAGGAGAATAAAAAAAATAGAAAAACTACAGACAAGACAAGCAGTTGATTTAGAAAACGTTTTATATCATGCTGTTTCAACTTCCATTTTCTCTACAAAACGTAAACATAAAATAAGACTTGAAATGATTGTCTTTTCAACAAGAAAAAGACTGTTTTCGTCACATTCGTACCACTGTAAAATCTGATCACAAGAAAGTGTCAAGGCAACACTGGCTCCAGGCTGAACAATTACATTCACTTAAGCTATATACACATGTTCCAATTCGATTTGAAGGGGCTGATCATGTAATCTGGATTTATATAACTATTAAAGAACTATTTTAAGAACAACAAACTAATAAGCTGACTTTTGCTTTGTAATGGTGACTGGACACACAGGCTTGACTCATCCTCGACCAACGGTAGAAGGCCCGGCCCAAAAGAAATAAGCCAAAGTCATCTCTGTGTGGGCGAGTCTCAATCTGGTATACACAAAGTATCAAGCAATATTACAACTGCAACCCTCCTTAAAAGGTATATACGAGGATTTTCTACTTCTGGGTGGATCATCAGGACTATTGGTCAATCATGAAAAGTGGAGACGGTTGTTCTTTACTAACATTCGGTAAAATCCTTCTATATACCTTTTAAGTTCTTGCTCATTTTAAGACTTTAAAAATACAGTTTTCCTGAATCCCACACTATCAGCAACCAACATATGGTTAAGGAATAAAAAAAGAAAGAAAAGTTGAGCGCGCACACAGAACGATTCATTTTTTTCAGATGAAAGGGCTTAAATTATTTTTGGTCAAAATGAGTTTTGGCACGCGAAGGCTCGTGCTTTGTGTGCGTAATCGAGACGACGAACGAATGGACAAAAGTAGCATTGTTTTCTAGAATGTACTGCTTTCACATAAACTGTATCGAGCTCTACAGATTTGCTCAAAGCCACTCGCCGTTTCTGCACTAGGAAGCCTGTGTTGGTATTGCCCTTGTGCTGGACCAGACTCAAATCCAGGTCCAGGTCCAGGCTCAGGTCCAGGCTCAGGCCGTCTTCTTGCACACGTGGATGAAGTAGCAGGGGGCGTTGGCCTGTCCCGGGACGTAGGTCTGGAAGTCCCCGTACACGCTGTGCTCCAGTTTCCCGCTGAAGGCGTTGTTCAAGAGGCTTTTGAACTGCTCCAGTTTGTGAGGGTAATAGGACAGGCGGAATTTACTGCAACACAAACGAGAGCGTAGTGAGGGGCGACCCTGAACTGAGATTAAGATTAAGAGTATGATCATGCTTTTATTTTTCTCTAATAATACAATGGTTCAAACTCTGAACAGCCCGAGTTCTGCTCACTGCTGGTCCTTATATACTGTACGGCAGATGTACACATTTCTTTGTACAGTATGTATTGTATGTAGGGCTGTCAAACAATTAACATTTTTTAGTTGATTAATCGCACAGAAATGGTGAGTTAACTCACGATTAATCGCATTTTTAACATTCTATTTCAAATCCACTCCAATTGAAGTTAAATGAGATTATCAAATATAATGACACATGTCATTCATACCAAATGTACTTAAATCTGTTTGCTTTTGGGCAAAACCAACATGAGCTGTTAATGAAAGGGGGAAATTTACATACCCCAGCTTTAATTCAGCGTTTCAGTTTAGTTTAGTTTCAGGAAAAGACAGGGACACTTTAGCGGTGTATTTGCGCGCACAGGTTACGCACAGGTTGCAAAGACACGAACACAACATGCAGACAATAGTTCTGTGGCGTGTTTGGTCTTATTTGACCATGTTACCGCGGCGCCACTCACTCACAGCCGCTCACAGCCGTGTTGTTGTGAGCGGCTCACAGTCAGAGCGGCCACGGAGGAGGCGGACTTCAGTTCACTTCAGCCCCGTGGTGGCGCGCGTATTCTTTTAAAACATGAATCCCCAGAGGGCCTACCTGCTCTGATGCCATCTCACACGCAGCATTCTGAGTGATATTATGGATAAATGGGCGGGTCATTCGGACGTGCGTTAATGCGTAAATTTTTTTTAGCGTGTTAATGAACAATGTAATTAACGTGAGTTAACGCGATAATTTTGACAGCCCTAATTGTATGTTTTATTTTATCTATGGACAGTGTTTTTCAAGGACACAATTCAATAGAGATTATCATTATTATCAATAATAATAATAATATGCTTCCCCCAACTGCTTTTCAAACCGTATTTTGCCGTTTATTTTTTGCATCCTGTTTTATTATTAAAAGGGGCAGGTAACATAAGATATTTTTCATCCTTTTCATTTGTGTGACAAGTCTACAATAATTTGGAAAGTTTATTTTGTAATGTAAGTTTTGAGGTATTGAAATTAATAAATACATAAATAAATAAAAATAAGACAATACAAAATATGAATAATTTATCTTTTAGTGTTCATGCGTTTTAAAGAATGAAAGACTATCATACTCATGTGTACTCATTCACACTTTATGCTCTGGTTCATTTTAACTGGACCGATTTTGGTTCAAAAATCAGTGAGCTGGGGTTAATGTGTTGCTAACATGGCTGAGAAGGCGTGAATGAAGGCATCTGATTGGTCAATCCTGAGGTCTCGCTCAGAGGGACTGCTCCGATCTCAAATCGGGGATATCCAACATGTTGGATTGTTTGGCCCAATTTCTCTTCATGTGTGGTGTCCTCCGGGGTCAGGCGAGCACGCTGGACTGCGGCGTGGCGCCAATCAGAAGACGAGGTGACGAGGAAACACCGTAAACAAATCATAACAGTCATTGGCATAAATATACAGTGCCTTGCGAAAGTATTCGGCCCCCTTGAACCTTTCAACATTTCGCCACATTTCAGGCTTCAAACATAAAGATATAACATTTTAATTTTTTGTCATGAATCAACAACAAGTGGGACACAATCGTGAAGTGGAACGACATTTATTGGATAAGTGCAATATTATTTGGCCCCTTTACTTTCAGTGCAGAAAACTCAGTCCAGAAGTTCAGTGAGGATCTTTGAATGATCCAATGTTGTCCTAAATGACTGATGATGATAAATAGAATGTACCTGTGTGTAATCAAGTCTCCGTATAAATGCACCTGCTCTTTGATAGTCTCAGGGTTCTGTTTAAAGTGCAGAGAGAACCATGAAGACAAAGGAACACACCAGGCAGGTCCGAGATACTGTTGTGGCGAAGTTTAAAGCTGGATTTGGATACAAAAAGATTTCCCAAGCTTTAAACATCTCAAGGAGCACTATGCAAGCAATTATATTGAAATGGAAGGAGTATCAGACCACTGCAAATCTACCAAGACCCGGCCGTCCCTCCAAACTTTCATCTCAAACAAGGAGAAGACTGATCAGAGATGCAGCCAAGAGGCCCATGATCACTCTGGATGAACTGCAGATAACTACAGCTGAGGAGGGAGAGTCTGTCCATAGGACAACAATCAGTCGTGCACTTCACAAATCTGGCCTTTATGGAAGAGTGGCAAGAAGAAAGCCATTTCTCAAAGATATCCAAAAAGTCTTGTTTAAAGTTTGCCACAAGCCACCTGGGAGACACACCAAACATGTGGAAGAAGGTGCTCTGGTCAGATGAAACCAAAATCGAACTTTTTGGCCACAATGCAAAATGATATGTTTGGCGTAAAAGCAACACAGCTAATCACCCTGAACACACCATCCCCACCTCAGCTGTAGTTATCTGCAGTTCATCCAGAGTGATCATGGGCCTCTTGACTGCATCTCTGATCAGTCTTCTCCTTGTTTGAGATGAAAGTTTGGAGGGACGGCCGGGTCTTGGTAGATTTGCAGTGGTCTGATACTCCTTCCATTTCAATATAATTGCTTGCATAGTGCTCCTTGAGATGTTTAAAGCTTGGGAAATCTTTTTGTATCCAAATCCAGCTTTAAACTTCTCCACAACAGTATCTCGGACCTGCCTGGTGTGTTCCTTTGTCTTCATGGTTCTCTCTGCGCTTTAAACAGAACCCTGAGACTATCAAAGAGCAGGTGCATTTATACGGAGACTTGATTACACACAGGTGCATTGTATTTATCATCATCAGTCATTTAGGACAACATTGGATCATTCAAAGATCCTCACTGAACTTCTGGACTGAGTTTGCTGCACTGAAAGTAAAGGGGCCGAATAATATTGCACGCCCCACTTTTCAGTTTTTTATTTGTTAAAAAAGTTTAAATTTTCCAATAAATTTCGTTCCACTTCACGATTGTGTCCCACTTGTTGATTCATGACAACAAATTTTTTTTTTTATATCTTTATGTTTGAAGCCTGAAATGTGGCGAAATGTTGAAAGGTTGACGGGGGCCGAATACTTTCGCAAGGCACTGTATATATATAGTCCGAGCTCGCATTGTTTCCATTTTTTGACCATCGCCTTTTCCTTTGATAACACTTTTTCTCTGTTAAAAACAAACGGCAAACTATCACCACTGCATCCTATACGTCCTCCATGATTGTTTACTCTGAAGTCACGCTTGATCTCGAGAGATTTTGTGAGATTTCCGTCTGATCTGGGAATGCTCGTGGGGGCCATCGGTTCGTGTGTGGTTTGCGTGACCACACACTGTGCGACCAAAGTGGTTAGACCCTTGATTTTTTATCTCCGTGTGTGGGGTCAGGTTAGGAAAATCGTCCGACAATTTTAAAATAGTCTCGTGTGAAACAGGCTTTACCGTTACTTTGCTTTTAAAAAGATTTTTAAAAAAAACCTTTGGACTCTTCTCACTGTGAGGTTTACCTGAGCTCCGGAGCCTTTTGGTGGTCGTCTTGAGGCACTTGAATGGTGTAGTCCAGAGTGATCATGTGAGGCTTACTGTCCACCCACAAAACAGAGGTAGCGATGTTCTGAGTTAGATCGCTCTGTAACATAAAGAAATCGTTGGAAATATTGAAGTGACTGCTCGAGGCGGCGCAGCTAAAGATAAAAGTAGTGCATGTAGACAAAGTTTTCAAAGACAGTATATAAGAGAACAGATTGCGATTATATTATAAGAAGAGGATTTCCCCGCAGCATCTCCGAGTTGACTTAGTATTTAAGCTCAAAGGTTCCAGCTGGAGAGAGCGAACCGACTGATTCATCTGATGGAGACTGGGGGAAAAGATGTAAATAAACAACATGTGTGAGATATGTCGAGTGCGTCTCCAGAGGTTTAAATGCCCTGTCGTAATGCACAGTCAAATTAAAACTACATTCAGTTCGTTTTTTTTTGCTTCATTATTAAACATTTATGAATTGTAATGGACTCTGAGTAAAATCCTGCTCATGTCGTGCGCTCACACTGGAGTTTGAAAACCAGTATGACCCCATGGGAACTTCAATATGAGACTAAACTACTATGGTACATTAATATACAGTCATATTTAAATAAGCAATATGTATGTTTTCATGTCAAGTCATCATTAAATGGCCCTATATTTCAAAAAGCATTAGTAAACCATGTACAGAAAACTTCTTTAACTGGTAACAGCAGTTCAATCTTGTTATTGTTTTTTGATGTCCCGCCCTCCACCATTTTACAAATCAGAAAGGTCGTGATCCGGGTTGCCAGAACTCACCGGGTAGAGCTAATCATACTGGTAAAGTAACATCTGATTTCTATCTTTGTGAAAAAGGTGTTGGTTATAGATGTGTTGTTGACAAAACTCTTGTCTATTCAGCTGTTATGGTCCCAGCTGGAGTCGTCTGCATATCTGGCAACCTGAGTCAGGGAGAGTGCAGTACCACTTTTGGCCAGATGTTTACATACTGCTCTCCTTTAGGGGAAGACCAGGACAAGTAGAGTAAGGTTTGTGGAGAAGCAAGCTCGCTCGCAGAAACTATTGGACAGATTGAGAAGATGATGATTACAGGTTGAGTACGTTTTCAAGAGACACCACAAGACTGTGTGCTATTACATAGAACTTACAAAAAAATCTAAGAATTTACAGCTATTTAAGAACAATTTATATATATTCAAGAATTATTTATTTGTCATTTGCAGTAAAACCACATTGGAAAAACTGTGCAAGACCACCCCAGTGTGCACCAGACACACACCAGAGCCATTGCCACAGTGCTATTTTCTGGCACATGTACATTTTATCACATTTAGAGCAATGTATAGTTTGTGTGCTCTTACAACTGTCCTGTATGTGCTCTGTATTGCCCCCTAATGGAACAAATAAAGGATAGAGAATTTGATATAGTCTTGTCGCAATCGCAGCCATTTCATTGATTTACTGATGAATTAGGCAAGGCAAGTTTATTTATATAGCACAATTCATACACAAGGCAATTCAAAGTGCTGAACTTTGAATTGAAGAAAGCATTAAAATCATAAATAATCACAGAACATTAAAAAGAAAGATAAAAATATAAAATCCCTCAGTTGTATGCACAGCTAAACAGAACTGTCTTTAACCTGGTTTTAAACATTGTCAGAGAGGAGGCCTGTCTCACATCTTCAGGAAGACTGTTCCAGGTTTTAGCAGCATGAATCTGAAAAGCAGCCTCCCCATGTTTAGTTCTGACTCTGGGCACTAACAGGAGTCCAGTCCCTGTGCTCCTCAGAGTTCGGGCTGGTTCGTATGGTACTAACATGTCACTAATATATTTTGGTGCGAGGCCATGGAGAGACTTGTACACAAGCAGAGCTGTTTTAAAGTCTATTCTCTGAGCCACAGGAAGCCAGTGCAGAGACCTGAGGACTGGACTAATGTGGTCGTACTTCCTGGTTCTAGTCAGGACTCGAGCTGCTGCATTTTGAATGTACTGCAGCTGTTTTACAGCCTGTTTGGACAGACCTGTGAGCAGGCCATTGCAGTAGTCTAACCTACTGGAGACAAATGCATGGATAAGAATCTCCAGGTCTGCTTTAGACACTATGTTTTTGATCCTGGAAATGTTTTTTAGATGGTAAAAAGCTGCTGATGTTACTGATTTGATGTGGCTATTAAAATTTAAGTCTGAGTCCAGTATTACCCCTAGATTTCTGACCTTGTTTGAAGGTTTTAGGGAGAGAGACTGTAGGTGACAGATGACGCTCTCTCTTTGTTTCTGGGGACCAAAGACAATCATTTGAGTTTTGTCTGCGTTTAGCTGAAGGAAGTTGTTTTGCATCCACTCACTGATCTGTTGGATACAGTGAAGGAGTGAGTCCACTGGTCCATGTTCTCCTGCAGTCAGTGAGACATAGATCTGAGTGTCGTCTGCATAGTTATTAAGTTTTATACTGCGATTCCACTTCTCTCCCCAGCAGAGCCGACCCCAGGGGAGGCAGCGACACCTCGTTCTTACCTTGTAATAAATGTTTTTTCCCGGCGGCGCCTTCCCAGTGTCCAGGATGTAGTCGTAGTTCCGGTGGTCAATGATGAGCACTCCGCCGGGTCGAACCATGCTGGCAATGTTCTGAAGCGCTAATTTGTGGTCGCTCTGGTCCCCTGATGTCATCCAAAATAAACACAAGAAAAATGGCATTAATTCTTTGTTCAAATATGTCTCAAAACACTTTCAAGTAGAGCAGAGTGTTAAATCAGGAAAATAAATGTAAATGTGTTGCAAAGTTGAAATACTTTAATGATACTGCCTTTTGAAACCAAAGTGTCAAGATACCTTATTTAAATTATGTTCAAAAGTGTTATGTTATTCTTCCTTCTCCTTTTTTTTAAGCTCCTTTAGCTGTGTTAAAAAAATTATGATCTTTTTCTAATCATTCTAGTCATATTGTACCTTTAAAATCTGGTAAATGAGCGAATGAATTGCCAAGACAAATAACAGCATCAAAGCCGTCCCCTGGTTTCTGCACCTCCTCAGCCAGTGTCAGCCAGTTGGCCTCCTCGATCACTGTAGACCAAAACAAAAGTCATAATCCTACTATGAAGTTACAATGAACAAATTACAAACTGTACAAACTGGTCTTACCCCACTGGTCAAAGGCTGGTTCCTTTCGTCGTTCCCATCTCGCCTTTAATGCGTACTTTAGCATCTTGTCACTTGCATCCACGCTCACCATATTAAAGCCTTCCTCCACCAGCATAATGGAGTCAATTCTACACAAAAACAACATTAATTCAGAAAAATATATAGTTTTACATTTTCAACATAGTCTTGAATAATTCTGTCACTAAGTGAACTTTAGCAGCCTGGAGAATAGCTGTTTCAGTCTGTATCCAAGGCTGTTCAGATGATCTTTTATTTAAGTTAAATATATGTAAAGCTAAAAATAGTAAGGCCAGTTGTACCCTCATTCCATTGCAAGTATGGGCCCCTCAAGGCTCTGCTGGTCAATCTGTACACTTACTGTTGTAGTAACAGTGCTTATCTTATAGATAATTGTCTGAGTGATAATAACAAGCTCTGACAAATACTAAAAGTAAAATTAATGTTAGTAATATTGTTCTTTTAAACTGGTCAGACTGTTGTGTGCTCTGACCTTGGCGTGCTCTACACATAGATACACTATCAGAGGGAGACACAACTGCTGCAAACCAGTTTAAACTGACAGACACCCAACAGTGTCGTGTTCTTTCAGCCCCAAAGTCCTGCAATTATTTGTTAAATCCACTTCTGCAAAAGTGACCACCCTGTGTGTGGCACAGGGGCCATAGAGCACCAGTGCAACGTTGCACTTTCATTCACTTTTCTCTGGACCTAATCCAGAGTTCCCCTGAGCTCAGCAGACTGAACATTGAACTATTCCATGTTCTTGCAATAGAAAAGCAGGAGAACGGGCATCTTTATTAGTTACGATTTAGATTGACATTTGTCTTCTAGATATTTGGGCAACAAGTGCAACAGACATGACTAATCGACCCGAAGCAAAGGTAGTTACACAACAGCTCAGAAACAGATTAATAAGCATGTGTGGTTAATATCATCATTGATACAGTTCGTTAGGGTTCCGGTGTTTACCCAGTTCCACAGGCTACATCCAGCACACGCTTCACGCTGTGCTGCCTCAGCAGAGACACCACCCAGCTCTTGTACTCCTGCGTCCGGCTCTGGGTGTCCCCGATGTACAGCTGCCACACTTTGGCCGCTTTCCCGTCCGCATACTGGTCCGGCAGCCCCTCTGCGGCCACCCCGAGGGAGCGGGTCCTGAACACGCTGTCCACCGACATGCTGCCGTGGGACTCACACAGGCCGAGATCAGCGAGCTAACTTTAATCCAGTCGTGTGCTAGCGTCCACACGCGTATGCCTCACATGCTAACCTCCTCTGTTATTATTTATATGAAGCAGACTGAGGACAACAGCGGCCCAATGAGGAGCCACCGCGCGCTCACGCCTCCTCCCTGATTGGCTGAAGAAGAAGGACGTCTGCCTGCACTTCCGTGTTTACGCCTCCCTTTAACTCCGGAAACTTTGGCATACAATCAAAAATCAACCAACTTCAATGTGGCCATGTAAGAAAGAGCTAGCAGTAACCAGCTAGTTATACATCACTTTGGCTGCTCTGGTCTGGGCTAAAGACTCTAATAAAAGATACTAGAAACAACCACAACAGGTTAATTTTGGCCAAGTGTTTTGTTTTGTTGCTAAATGATGTGTTTGATGCAGGAAATGGATGAATGGCGTAGTAACTCCTCTCGCTGTGATTGGCTGCATCCATGTCCGCAGAAGCCTATTGTTACCAGAAGCGGTGTGGCAGAGTCTGCGCGAACCGGAGAGATCCAGGTCGGACCCGCCCTCAGCACTTTACATAATGTTTGTAATCACACAAGGTTAGTGTGATGTCAGCCCCGGTTTGACCCAGTGTAGATGCACAAACGACTGTACTGTAACATGGAGCCATATTCCTTTAGAAAATAATATTAGTCAAAGTCGAAACAGGCTGGTATCACTAGGACACGTCTGCTATAAAAGTGAGTAATGCCAAGTAATTATTTGTAGTAATTTACAAGCAATACAAGTGTGTTTTCTTTTATATAAAATTCACAATTATGACGTAAAAATACACAAATATGAATATACAAATAATACACAATAATGACGCAATAGGTTTGTGCACTAGGGCACATTCATACTTGTTGGTTTGGTTCACTTTAACCGGTTCACAAATCTGTTAAAACTTTTGTAAAGAATTATAGGAGGATTTTCTACATCCGGGTGGATCATCAAGACTATTGTTCCTCCCAGTTGTAAATCATTCTGGTGATACGTGCTCATCAAATAATACCAGAGAGTTTTGTTCAAAAGTGGAGAGGGCGGTTCTTTCCTAAAATTTGGGAAAGATTTCCTATATACCTTAAAGCTCTGTATGCACGCTGTGATGGTTTATGTCTGGATTGTATTGTACTCTTGTATCTTCCTGTGTGGCACCTTGAATGGTATGTTATGTTTATTTTTATTTTTACAGTCCCAGTGTACAATAAACATTAGCCAAAAGGAGAGATGCATTGTACCAAGTGCAGCAGTACTAGTTTACACGTGTAGTCCCTGAGGACTCACCTTGTGAGTCCAAGACAAATTTCCTTTGGGGCAAAAAGAAATGAATCTTGGATCTTGAATACTTGTTAGAAAGAGCGCTTTAAGCTATGTTTTGACTGCATGTGCAGAGCTGGTTAGGTGAGTGAGGGTGGTTCTCACATTTTCACTTTTCTATCAGAAAAGCTGATATGAATATGTAAAAAAAAACTAATTTGTTTGTAAAAACGTAGCAATAGAACCAAACAGTTTTAGAGCTGGGAACTTTTTTTTAATACTCGGTTTTACCACACACTGTTTTGATAAGAATCGATCCAGGTAGAGCGAATCAGACAAGTGTGAATGCGCTCTGATTCATGCATATTACAGACCAGTCCAAATGAGGCCTTCTACAGTTTGGTAGTGATCCCCTGAGTGAGTTGAGTTTGTTGAGTTGTGTTCTGCTGCATCCTCCTCTGCCGCTTCAGGGCGTACCATCTGACCATGCATACAAAAACAATCACTATCACAGCTAGGCAGATCCACAGCCAGATGAACCCTCCTGTGGACAGGGAAGAGCCCTTTATTGTGCCATTTTTAGTTACAGGTTTGACAAAGGCCGGAACTATTGGCGTTGTAATGTCCACATATCCGCTACTGTTTGTTGTGGGCACACATTTGTCTTGATCCTGAAGAATGAATCCTTTATAACAGGAGCATTTGAAACTGCCAAATGTGTTTTTACACTTTTGCTCACACATCATATTCATCTCACATTCATCTAAGTCTTCGCATATGTTTTCGTTCAAAATATATCCGTCAGGGCAGGAGCACTCTTGGTAGATGCACTCAGGGGGGCATTTTTCTTTACCACAGTAGAGTTTGCATTTTCTTGGGTTTTCGCTGTCTGGGGCATAGCCTTTATAGCAGGAACATCTGTATCCATCTTTCACTGCTCTGCACTGATGCTGACAAGAGGCATCTGAACAACCTCTGGAGCTCTTAAAATAATCTGTTAATTCTTGGATTTGGCATGCATGCTCGTGGTCAGTCCTGCACAGAAAGCCGTCTATTTTCTCCAGACACGGCCTCTCTGTCCATTTTCGGTCGGGGGATGTTGACACACAGCGCGGTGAGCAAACTTGGGCACTGTCTTTCCAGAAATGGACTGATATGTTTGAATCCTGACCATGGCTTGTCCACTTGTAACCTCGAAGTGGAGCAGAGAGGTTGCTGCATGTTCTCTCTGGTAAACTTAGGCCAATCCAGAAGTTGCCGTAGCTTCCATAATCCAATGTTTGTGCGATGTCGTCATTTGGAAGAAGTGAAAAAAGCTCCCCTTTGCTCCTCCGGCAAATTTCATCAGCTGAGTGAAAATCCACTTTGACTTTGTGAAGACTTACACAATAGCTTCCAGAGCAGTGGGGTCTGCAGCTATCAGCCAGTTCAATGCCTGTAGAAAGTAGTGCCAGCCAAAAAGTCATTGCTATTCCACTCAGTGTGAGAGCGTGCAGAAAGGCCATGTTGCACTGCAGATGTAGACAATCACGTTCAATTGTTTGGTTTTGGAGTTGGGAAAGACATCAGGGCTTGGGCCATCTACCGAGGAAGCAACACCCTTAAAACAAGCACAGGAAGGAAGCAAGATAAACACCAAGTATGTCCTTCCAAAACTGGGCCCAACAGGAGCTGCCACTGAAGCTGCATTTGCCAGACCTATTCTCATTCAAAGTTTTTCATATTTTAATTGTGAATCAAATATATGTATATAATTTGATGCCGTTCTTGAACCTGTGGATTAGGCACACACAACATAGTAATACAATATTGACAGAGAATGGATTCTGTGTATGCAAAAGCATACTCCAAATATATTTTTAAATAACATGGATAGATGGATTTTTATCAAAATAATAAACTTTGAATGAGAAAAGGTCTGCCACAGAAGCAACATTTGCCAGACCTATTCTCATTCAAAGTTTATAATATTTTAATTGTGAACCAAATATATGTATATAATTTGATGTAATTCTTAAAACGTGTGGATTAGGCACACACAACACAGTGATCCTACAGAAGCATAAACGCAGAATCGATTATTTTTGGCCAAAAGCTTACTGCAAATATATTTTTCAACAACATGGATGAATGGATTTTTATTAATATAATAACTTTTTTATAATAAGTAACCAGCACATACTTTCAAGCTTTTATTTCTTTATTAATTTTTATTTTTTTACTTTTTAAAATGTCTTTTATGGTTTATTTTTAATTTCTACTTTGTCTTTTCATGTTCATGTTTCTTGTGCATTGAAACCAATTCAACCCTGGATAGCAAAATTGATTTTAATGTAATAATTTTTCTTCTTTACAATCCCAATAGCTATTTTTATACAAGTGTTTAAAAAATGCCACATACTTTTTCTGAACGTAAAGAACCACCAACATTATGCAATTATTATGAACCATTTTGAACTATCGATCTAATTCAATAATATCAAAATCGTTCTATAAAATAATGCACCATGAAAGATTTAAAAGTTGGTGAAACATTCCCTTTACAATTCTTTGGAGGTAATATCTTTGTTAAACAGCAGAGGGCGCACTAAGCTTCCTTAATACGTTGTAGCTTTTGTACAGAAAAAAGTCATCGGTATAAACAAATCCCCCAAATGCAGTTTCTTCAAATATTTTATTGAAATTCACATCTCAATACAGCAATCTGTTTTAAAGGTGATGATAGGTTACTGCATAAAACACACATCAATAATGAGATTACATACAAACACTTTATTATTCTGGAAAAAATACTGCAGACATTTTGTGAACACTGTTTCACACTCACTTTTTAACTACATATTTTCTAGTGCATGGTTTGCCATTTGTGAAGGAATCCAAATGTTGTTTTGCCTGAATTGTTTCACTGTATGGCCTGAAACTTTGCTATTTTGAATTATTTTTAGAATATCGTTCAAAAGTCCATTTACTTGCTCAATTCCAGGTGCAAGCTGACACTAAAGATTATATAGAAATACTACACGCAAAATTAAATAAATCAAGTTTCTCGGACTGTAAGTCATAATGATCTAAATAAAAACAAAGAAAGGCTTGGCGTATGTCTCTGTAATGAATCTATGTCATATATAAACTCTGGACTTTCACCTTTTTGTTAAGTTAATTCCATACTGAAGAATATTCCAAGCAAAACAAAAACTAAACAGCATTGGAAAAAATTCATCTTTAAAGAAACATGAAGAAGACATGATTCATAATGAAATAATATTAAGAATGATGCTTGAATGAATGAGGCTCTACATAATTGATACTAACTTCTACCCCATACTCATAACTAAGTCGTTATTCAACCTCAATTATCTTTCCTCCTGGTATCGGTAATTAAAAAAAAATGTTACCAGCATTTTAATTTGTGCAAACATGTGTATAATGTATGTAACCAGTGTTTTGCTTAATAAATACATGACACAGAACAAGACTATATACTATAAAGTACAGATTGTATAGAGTCTATTTTTAGGTCATACATCATCTGTTGGAATAGACTCATAAAGTTTCTCCAAACGAGGATCCACGCCTGACGAGACCCAGCAGTATCCATCTGTTGTGGGATTTTTCTTGACCTCCTTTTTGACTTGACTACATTTAACTATTAAAATACCTGCCGTGATTGCGATCAAAACCACGAGGGGGATGACTGAACCAAGAACGCAGATAATCACCCTGTTATGGGAGGGTTTGTTTGAGCTTGTGGTAAGAGATGTGTCGACTTTGTCAAGAATTTGGTTGGTGTCGTTGAAGTCCGGGGGTGCATCTGTGTTTGGGGATTCGTGTTGTAGTTCAACCGTGCTGCTCAGTGACTCTGTGAAATTTTCTTGTAAGTCCAACATGGTGGAGGACTCAGATGGAGACTCCGACAAGCTTCCTGAAGAAACATCTATGGGAAAGCACTCTCCCTTGCGGTCAACCTGGTAACCATTCGGGCATGCGCACAGAAAGCTTCCCCTGGTATTAACGCATTCAAATTGACAACTGTGACGCAAGCATTCGTTTATATCGTCACATGAATGACCATTTTCGGACAGTTCAAAACCGTCGTGGCATTGGCAAGAAAATGACCCGAGACTGTTATGGCAAGCGTGTTCACATGTCGCGCTTAAACATTCATCGGTGTCGCTGCATTCTCCGTCGATCATCTCAAAACCCTCTCTACAACTACAACTGTAACTTCCTTCGGTGTTGGCGCACAAATGTTCCCCACACGCTCCGTCGAACGCGCACTCGTCAACGTCCGAGCAGGTGCGCAGGTCCGAGTCCAGTTCCATCCCCCGCGGACAGAGGCAGGTGAACCCCGTCTCTCCCATGACGCACTGATGCTGGCAGGTGTCTTCAAAGCACATGTTTTTCAACCCGCAAGAAAGTCCATTCTCACTGAGTTCATAACCGTCATTACACGAGCAAATCACTTCTTTGCCCTGCTGGCTGCAAATATGTTCGCAACCTCCATTTTTTACCGCGCAACTTCTGTCTGCGTGGCAAAACGGACCAGGCACTGTCCAGTCATAGGTGTTTTCCTGCTTTTTAGTGCACCTAGTGAACAAAGGCGGCTGGTTATTACATTGGATATCGGCGTATGTCCCGACCGGCAACAACGTCATCTGATAGTGTTGAGCTTCTCTTGAAAACGGGACAGTGTAGGTGATTTGCCCATGTCCCAAGCTGACCAAAGCCTTGCACATTCCTTGAAATGGGAACTTACACACATAGGGAAAGTCTTTAATGCAGCTGACATCCTGCCATTTCAAGTGATTGGAGCCCATTGGGTTGTAATTGACGCTGACACATCTTTCATGGCAAGTAGAATGCGGCTCCCGTCCCCAGTTTGAATACTCGGAATCCTCTTCGCCTGATGCCCATTTGAAGCCTTTGAGTGTCGCATGGGATATGACACAATTATTTCGGTACAGTTTGAGTCCAATACGAATTTTCAGCGTTTCTTCCTGAAGTGAAGCTTGTGAGAGAAGCGTCCGGAGTTTGTCTTCCTCCTCGCTGGTTCTTATGGTCATTAATCGGCCACCATTGTCTTTACAGTTCACGCGCGCATTCTCAAATGAAACTGCATCCAAGTGTAGAGTGAAACAAGCATTGGAGGTACATGAGGTGTGCTGTTCCGCATTGCAAAAAGTAAGCATGGTTAGAAAAATCAGCAGCATACTTGCAAAATATTCCAAAAATTATGAACAAATCCAGAGAGAGGTTGTGGTGGCACAGTCATGGCAACAATGCAGGACTTCTAACCCCAACAGTCAGTCTCCGTCATGCTCACAGGAGACTAACTAAAGACGGAAAAATGTTTTGCAGCAGATAGGGGTCTGTTCGCTGACTCCCCCCTGACCAGTTCCGTTACGGACCCTGCAAACAATGGCCTGGTCTACTGTGTTTTGACTGCCTCTCCAGATGTCTCCGGCCCCAGCGGCCACTTACTGATTGTTACCCCTCACAATAATGTGTGCATGAAGGGCCAAAATTCAACATGATAAATATAAAAGAGAGAATGCAGCATGAACCGAACGCAACTTGACTTTAGATAAGTGCTATTGTATATACAGACAATGGTTGATGGATCATTTGTTATCAAAATTGTTTTTATTTTACTCTAATTGTCTAAATACTGAGACAAATTAGTGGTCCGTCCATTAATGTTCTGTGACAATTCTTTATTTCAAATTAATTGTTGCCGCTCAGAGGAGTAATAGAAGCAACAGGCCCCTGTCACTACGCTGCCGAACAGAACGTTTCAGGAGATTACTTTGTTCCTTCGGCTGTCAGACTGTACAACAACAAAAAAGACAACTGGACACCTACATTTCTCCTACGGGGAATCAATAAAGTATCTATCTATCTATCTAATTGGTGGTAAACCTAAAACTTCATTTTCAGAAGCATTTCTGATACTAACTGACTTTGCGCTAAATGAAGATCTTAAGGCAGCACTTGGTATTACATGACATTTTTGTTGAAAGGCCCATTGCAAGCCCACATGGAATTTAATATCTCCTTGTGTGCGACTTGTGTCATGACTATATTTTAGGGACAGAATCCCTGGTAAATATTGACAATAGTTTTGCATCAATCAAGTGATCTGTCATCAATTTCAAAAACACTTAGCAAACAAGAAAAGATATTATCTGACTCGTCTCTTTCTCCTGTGACTTGTGTAAATAATGCAGGCTTTTGCACCTGTTTACTTTGTGGTTGCTATGGCAGCTAACTGTGGTCCAACCAGGAAGCAATGTCATTCACTGTCATTCAATTTGATTTTGAGTCAAATTTGAGAATATATTCTTTTTTTTTCCAAGGAGTCATTTAACCTTATAAAATAATTTACAGACACTATGATTCTTATTAGTAATTCAACAACAGTCTACTCCTACAATTATATACTGTGTACAACTACAATTCTCACTGATAGCAGTTAAATAAAACACATTGATTGAATATAGTTTGATAACATACTATCTTCTGAAACAAATAATATTTCAGTAAATTATAGTTTTAAAATGTGTTGACCGGTAATAACAAAGAAAAAAAAAAGAGCTGTGTAAAAAGTTGCATATTGGAATCAGTTCTGAGTAACAACATTGGTCACTTGTTTAAAGCGACTGTTTTTATATTTGAAAGTGGTTGGGACATTTATGTGAATCCAGACCATACTTCCTGCATTTGTTAAACCACGAGCACAGTTTAAATGCAGGAAGTGCCCAACTACAATCACAGGAAAGCCAGAGAGGCACTCCTCCAGCCAGCTCATGCATTCTGCTGAATATGGAACACATTTTTAACTTGTGCCAAAACAAAAATACTACTAACTCTACATGGATGATTCTATTTAAATATATTTGTCACTGTGATAGAGAAATATAGATATCAGATAAATACGTCTTCAGTTTATGTTTTCAGGTCTTACGGCATGTACTTGGCACTGATGTTAAGTAATGCATGGTTTAATCCTTTAGGCCACAGTTTTTTCAGAAATGGAAACAGAAAGCAGGTGGTGCTCTGAAAATGATAGAGCACTATAAAAATGATTGTAAAATTAGCATATTGTTAAAAAGGCTTTTTCTGTAACTCAACAATTGTTGTTACACCAATGGGAGACACATTACACAAAGTCCGGGGTACAAAGTAAAAAGTACTAAGTCTCTATAGTCTCAGAACAATTCTGGTACTTTGTTCCTAAAGGGTTGATACGAATTTAAGCATTGAGATGAATACTAAGAGAGAAACTGTGACATTTCAGAGGGAAAGCAAAGACAACATTCTGCCCTCTACTGGTTACAACTGTGTACTGCAGGCCTGTTCAGTATCTTTGCGCTGTAATTTCCAAATAATACATATTTTGGTCATTCTTGTTTCTGCTTCTTAGAATAGTCTAGTCGGTGAGTTGTAATTGCAATCTGCTTCAAACCAGTCCAGTTTAATTTCAATCCTGGCAGAAAGATGTTGTTTAAGACTCTAACTTCTTATTTGACAACAAACACTTTTGTAATAATATATTTTGTGCAGCACCAAAGCAGAGATCACAGCCCCAAAACCATCCTCTGGAAATAAACAAGAGTTTTCTCATCAGGAATGATTCATTATTTTGTGCTGGTTTAAGATACCTAATGAGACAGGCCTCCTCTCTGACAATGTTTAAAACCAGGTTAAAGACGGTTCTGTTTAGCTGTGCATACAACTGAGGGATTTTATATTTTTATCTTTTTTTTTTTTTTTTATGTACTGTGATTATTTATGATTTTAATGCTTTCTTGTTCTGTTCAGCACTTTGAATTGCCTTGTGTATGAATTGTGCTATACAAATAAACTTGCCTTGCCTTGCCTTGCCTTGTCTGTAGGTTTTGTTTTTATTTTTTTCAGAAATTCTATGTGAAACAAACTAAAGGTGGGATAGGGGACAAGTAAAATTGATAACGTAAATAAAGGAAATTTATAAAAAAGATCTAAAAATGGAGGGGAATGGGGCGTCCCAGAGTCAGGAGATAATGTAGAAGTTCCACTACTTGTAGATAACTTAACGCAATGAATTGGTTAACTTCATGTTTGGCAACTGTCTTTGGTCTCCAACCACAACACTGCCCAGTGTCTTCAGCTGCTTTGCATATTGCTGAAGAAAACATGTAGTATCACATCAATGGATTGTACCTCTGTGTTCCTACATGCTCTGACTTACAGAGAAACACAGCTTCAGGGCAAAGAAAATCTGTCTGGATCCATGTTTTGCATATTATCACCTCGTACCAGGACCCTGAAACATAATAAACCAGAGAACCAGAGTACTGCTGCCTCACAGGAAGATGGTTAGGTTCAATCCCAGAGCAGGGTCAGAGGTCAATTGGTGTGGGGTTTGCATGTTTTCTCCTAGGGTGCATTGGTGGGTTTCCTCTGGGCGTTTCGATTTCCCCCATCACCCAACATCTAGTAGTCTGAATGTGGTGAGTGATGGTAGTAATTGGGATTTATCACATGGTATCGTATTGTGACAATGTGTTACGCATCGTATCGCCAGATACAGGACAATACACACCCTAGGAATGATATAAGTTAGCATAAACACAACACAGCAGCACTTATTTAGAGAGAGGTTTTGTTCTCAGAGACTCACCACAGGAGTCCACAGGAGTCCAGAGGAGCACAGAGACTGCTCCTGCGGACTCACCACCTGCAGGAGGATCAGTGAGGGGCTGGTTCTCTGTGTACTGGGGGCATAAAGGGGCAGAAAATGTATCTATGTATGTATAGGTCTCGTTCACAGCTTGAGACATGCTTTTTTTTTAACACAAAAAAGCAGATTTCTATTTTCAGCTTCTTTAAATCCTTCCGGAAGAGTAACTGAGCTTTAACAAGCTAAACCGCCAAAGGGGTTAACACAGTGAGTGATAGAGGCGCAGTGCTCCTTTCACAAGTCTGAAAAGTCTCATTATGTCAAACTGTTTCAGTTAAATATGTCTAATATCGGGTAACACTCCAAAAAATACATCTATAAATATATATTTTTAGATTTATTACCATAACAATTACACATTGAATCATTGAGCATACAGCCCCTCACTGCCGCCCACAACCCGAACCCTTTAGTTCGCCAGTTTAGTCCGAGCAGAGACGTTATTCAGATCACCAGCTTCCACCTCACAAAAAGTAAACCATAGGAATTAAAAGATGTGATCTTACAGAAAAAGGTGCAACAGCAGTTTGTGCTCGTGCTCCAGAGCAAGAAGGTCTTGGGTAGAACTCAGTACAACCCTCTTTCCATCACTGTGTGGAGTCAGCAGGAAAATACCAACAACAATTGTAAAGCTCTTTGTCACTCTGTGAAACACAGTATATCAATAAAGATTAGCTACTTCCTATATGAGCACTAGACACAAGTGCAGTGAAAACACTTAAAGACTTAGACCTTTGACATCAGCAGTCATTTTTGTAAATCATTGGTATTACAGGAGAAAAGACAAGCTATGACGCAGATTTAGAGTGTGCACTGAGGATATAACAGGAGAGAGGCTGATTTTGGGTCATAATCTTGACAGAGGTGCTCTGTTGTTTGACATGTAGACTTTATCTGACCTGTGTATTATCAGCGCGACAGACGAGCAGAGCCACTGGCTGAGCCTGCCCTGGGCGTTTACATACAACAGGTGAACAAGAGCAGGTCTACCTGCTGCACATCACCACAGCTCTCATAGAGACAGCCGCTGAGGTAAGACAATGTCAATATTTCTATTATTCACTTACTCCTAACAAGCTATTGCAGGTGAAACTCAAAATAGAATACTGTTCAGAAGTGATTTATTTCTGTTAGTCAACTTAGAATATTAAAGTATATGACTGATTACAGGCAAAGTGAGATATGCCAAGCCTTTATTTGTTATTGTATTTAGTACTACAACTCGCAGCTTGTAAAAACCCCAAATAAAACATGTGTAAACTATAAGCATCAAAATGATAACAAACAAAGGCTTGGCCTTTGTGACTGTGCGAGTAATAAGACAGTCTACATCATTCATGGGTTTCAGTTTTCAAGTTGAAGAACAGAAATATATGAATATATTATATACTGTATATATTTCTCACCAAAGGAAAATAACTACTGGAACAGCAGGCCACATCTGTCCTGTGCTTTTGGTCAGGATTAGTTTTTCATCTCCTAAAAACTCTCTAGTAAACGTAGTAATAACATCACAGTTACAAAAAACTACTTTTTGGACAAGAAATTGCGTCCCCTCCAATAACTATGAGGTAATTGCTGGCAAATCAAATTACAATCTGAAATTATGGATAGTATTCATCAAACCGTTTTTATATAGATCTATATCAAGTTCTAATATGTATTATGTATAACGTGATTAACAATTGAGACAAAGGTTAGTTTAATTTAGTTTTCAATCAGTGAGAAGATGGATTTTGTGTGCAACAGTCATGCCTGCTCCTGGTGCTTGTCTCAACATCATTGAAGCTCGCCAAAAGCAGAGTGGATATGGAAGTGTGTCGCTCCCAATCCAGTTCAACAATCAGAACTACACAGAGCTGAAGCAGTACTGTCTCCAACACAACCTGCGCTTTGTGGATAACAAGTTCCCCCCAAACCCGCACACTCTCGGCCAGGGGATCCAGAGCGTGCTCCGAGCAGATGAACTGCAGCGCCTGAAGTGGCGTAGACCCATTGTAAGGATTTGGAATTCATTTTACTTTTTACTTCAATCAATGCTCTATATAATGTGTGCGTCTTTTCAGAAACTGTGTCCAAAGCCCCGTCTGGCAGTTGATGGGATTTCCAGGTTTGACTTTGCCCAAGGAAAACTAGGTAGGATTCCAAACATTCACATATGATCTCAATGTGTGCAGTATCATTTTACTTTTTCTCAGGTGACTGTTGGTTTCTCGCATCTATTGGAGCACTGACATTTCAAGATCACATCTTTAAGAAGGTCGTCCCGCTCGATCAGAACTTTGAAGACGACTACTGTGGAATCTTTCATTTTAGGGTAAACTCCTCAATGTATTCACTCATGTTGCCCCTGTCTAATCTATAATCTGATCTAATCTAAGCACATTCTATGACAGTTTTGGAGATTTGGGAAGTGGGTGGATGTGGTGATTGATGACAAACTCCCCACTCTGGATGGGGAACTAATCTTTGTGCACTCCAAGCGCTCGGATGAATTCTGGCCTGCTTTGTTGGAGAAAGCCTACGCTAAGTATGTGTCAATGAAAACCTGTTTGTGAGCTCTGGATATCTGAGTTTGTAGCATGAGGTGATGTGTGCAGAGTGTGTGGCTCCTACGCTGACATGAAAGCAGGGGTCCCCGCTGATGCCCTGGTGGACTTCACAGGAGGTATTCACTTGTCCATCCAGCTGTCAAAGCCTCCTCCAGACCTGTGGGAGCTCATGTGCAGAGCAGGGACGTGCACTTCACTCATGGGATGTGGCACAGCACCCGGGGTAACCACCGTTCCCAGCGCTTTGGAGGTTTTTTTTTTGGATCATTAATTAATTTTATATGTTAATTTTATGGCTTTAGATGTTCTTCTAATAAGAAAACAAGAAAAGTAAAGAAAGCTAGTACTGCTTAATTACCACATGTTTGGGCAGTACACTTCCGCCTTCATCAGAGCTGACACGTGATGGTGTGACGCGTCTCTTCTCAGCTGTTGTTGCCGGATGCGGCCAGTCTGACAGTCTGACCACGTCCCCCACGCGTTGTGGTCTCTGGAGAAGTGCATCTCAAGTGTAAGCCAAGGTGAAAGCCCCCACGTCTCTGTTGATGGTCCGTGCGCCCCGCTTCCTGACTTCAGTCGCCTCTCGTATCCATCTTTTGTATTTATGTAGTAGGGATGCACTTCTCCAGAGACCACAGTGCGGCGGAGGACGTGGTCAGTCTGACGGATCTGTGAGATCCGTCAGACTGACCACATCCGGCAACAACAGCTGATCAGAAACGCGTCACACCATCACGTGTCAGCTCTGATGAAGGCAAAAGTGTACCGCCAAAACATGTAGTAATTAAGCAGTAATAGCTTTATTTACTTTTCTTGTCTTATTAGAAGAACCTCTAAAGCCTTAAACATAAGAAGACAAAATGAACGTTTTACATTTATGTTATGTTTATATTTTGTAGAAGAACAACATTTTGCCCACTGGATTGGTCCAAGGACATGCCTACACTGTAACCGGGGTAAAACAGGTGATGTATTTATTTACATTTACAATCATTTATTTTAGACTTCAAAATCATGCACACTGAAATATCTCATGCACAATTTAGTCTAGACTTACCCTGCTTCATTATTGTGTTTGACCAGGTTGAAAGTCAAGGGAGAAGCATCAGGTTGGTGCGTCTGTGGAACCCCTGGGGCCGAGTCGAGTGGGAAGGAGACTGGAGTGATCGGTGAGGAACGAGCAACATCTGAGCAGCGCCACAGCTTTGTACTGGACTTGTGTTCTTCCTCCATCAGGTCTCCACTGTGGGGAACCGTGAGCTCCCAAGACCGTCACCTTGGCCATTCAGTGGCTGATGACGGAGAGTTCTGGTGAGCAGTAAATACTCACATGTATTGGGGGGGCCAAAACAAAGTGTGTTGCTTGATTTTGTGATTGTGTTGTTTAAAGGATGAGTCTAGAGGACTTCACACGCCTGTACGCTAATCTGGACATCTGCTCCCCGGGCCCCAAGTTCCTGGATGGGACTCCGGGCAGTCACTGGGACAGCCAAGTGCATGAGGGCAGATGGGTGTCTGGCACCACTGCAGGCGGATGCAGTAACAATACAGGTAACAATAACTAGAGATCGAACAATGAATCAGTTTTTGAAATATCAGCTATCAGTCCGAACGATTTGCAACTATGACACGAGGTAAGATGCTTTACTTCATTTTTAAAGGTTGTTTATTTTGGCAGAAAAACATACTACCAAATAATATCCAAACACCATTCAATCAATCAATCAAATGTTATTTATAAAGCGCTTTTCATACAAGAAATCCAAAGCAAAGAGCTGACAAGTAATTTTTGTTCAAAAATATCGGAATAATGTGAACAAGCAAATACACACAAATAACCAAATGCAAAAGACAAAGCGATAAACAAAAAAAAAGTTGTCTCCTTCTCTTAAAATAAATCTGTTTCCGTATATCCACGAAGCCGTTTTGAAATAACCTTGACTTTTCCAATTACTGCAATAGCATCAACGGCTACCCCTGATTCCACGATTAAAAAAGGTTGGACATTTAAATGGGCCATCAGCGAGTCAAACTGGGCCTTGGCCTCAAAAAGCCCACATAGGTCGATCTCTAACAATAACATAAGAATGTAACATTAGTCACAGTTTCATCGCTGCATGTTCTGCCTGTGCTGTAATGTGCTCGTAAAATGTTTCTTGTCAGTAATGCAATGTTTGCTTTGATGTTAAAAACTTGTAAAACCATGTTGCAGTTGCAATTGCAGTTAAAACAATAACAAAAGTAAACGCTTCCTTTGTCTAACGGTAGAGTGAGGCAATCTGCTCTACTTAAAGTCAAGGAGTGAGACAGCTAATCTAATAAATCAGAAATAATTTGTGCTCTCTGCTCAAGGAGATATTATGAAAATACATTGTACTGTATAGAGATAAAGCATAATTGTTGATTGTGGCTCATGAAGCTTGGAAGGCTGTAGTGAGTGTTGGCCTCTCTCTTCTGTGCGGATGGTCTGCTGCTGTGGGTTTGCTTGGTGCGCCTGGGACTGGTGGGAGATGGCAGTGCCGAACTTACTGGTGCGCGTTGGCCACTATGGCACATTGGTCTCAAAGAGACGTGTGTATATATGTATGTGTATATATATTCATATTTTATAAATGACAAGATAACAACTATAGTATGTGTGTATGAATATTGCATACATATGTATGGTTACGTATGTCTGTATGTATGTGTGTGGGCGGGTATGTGCGACCGTAAAAAGTGAATATAGGTATAGGGGGTGGGAGCCTATAAGCTTGACTTCTTCCCACTCCTTTTTGAGCGTTAACAGGAGTGAAAAAAAATAACAAAATAAAAATGTATATATATATTTATGTATGTATGTACGTATGTACATTTCTATCATGTATTACATGTAATGGCTGTTAAAGCTATAATTGATTCCTGTTTATAAGCTTGAAATAAAATACAATCAATCAATCAATGTTTAAACCTGTTTTTCATAGTTGTCATAAACCTGAAATACAAGTGAGCAGTAGGAAACAGAATTACCACACTTTTATGATCGATCTATCTATCTATCTATCTATCTATCTATCTATCATGAGCAGCACGGTGGCTGAGTGGATAGCACTCTCACTTCTTAGCAAGAAGGTCCTGGTTTCGAATCCCAATCGGAACAGGGTCTTTCTTCTGGAAGTTGTATGTTCTCCTTGTGTCTGCGTAGGTTTCCTCCGGGTGCTCCGGTTTCCCCTACTACCACAGTAAAAACATATCTATATCTGTCTTCTATCTAACTACATATAAATAATATATATAGATTGATAGATATTTTGTATTTATTTTTCAGACACCTATTGGACTAATCCTCAGTACCACATTAAGCTTGACAGTGACAACAGTCTGGCAGAAGACGAGAAGAACATTCTGGTGTCTCTGATGCAGAAGTTAGATAAAAAAAACAGGCGCCAGGTCCCCAACTTTCACATCGGATTTTCAGTATTTGAGGTACAGACTATTATAGCATTTTGGAAATTATCCATAAACATAAAACAGACAATCATGGAGGCTTTTTTGTTGATAGCAGACAGTACAAGTGAAACTCAGAAAACTAGAATACTGTGAAAAATATATATATTTACAATGTGAAACTGACGCAAATATATTAACCACTTTGCAACAACCGGCGTGCCGGCGGCCGTTTTTATGTTTTTAAATGTTCTGCTGGCAATAGCAGATGTATTTTGAACACCAAACCCCAAAAGCTGTATATCATTTTAAAGCTTATTTTCTTATCTACATTTATATACAAGTGTAAACTACATCAGACTTTGCATTCAAAAGATATAACACATAATGTGGGCACAAAATAAATTAATTCCGAAATAGTTTTTTACCTTTGGGCTTGTGCTGTACAAATAAATCAGCTCTCCTCCCAGCTTGCAATACATCATTCTCTCTGGAACAGTCCAAAGGAAAATTATATCCACTTGTATTTCCCAAAGTAAAATCCATTCTGCAGAAATAATCCAAAAATGTGCATTTATCTCACATTTATCTTAAAAAAGAGCACAGATGTTACTCTTTCACTTTTAACGGACTTTTAGCTTTGTTTTTCACCCAAACATCTGGTATCTACGTGTTCCTTAGCTCCTTATCTTTCAAATGAGACTACTCCCGAAAAGCTAGACCAATTTTTGGGTCTGCAATAGCCCCCGCAAGTACCGCTCGTGCTGCTGTTTGCGCATAGTTGACTGATCTTTGTTGTGATCCCAACTTGTTTGCTTTTACTTCCGGGATTTACGATTGACATGTCCTTGTAGCCAATGAGGAAAGCTTTCGAACAAGGGGTGGGACAATGGTGTCCTGTCTTATGTTGTGCCTGGACAATTGTGCGTAATGGAAGCCAAAAGACGCTCTCGAAACTGCAATGAATTTACACTCATAAAAAAATAACTTTGACATTTAAAAAAGCAAAACACACATAGATTAGTAACTTATAAGTACCAATAATAAAAAATATTGTTTTTATGATGATTAAATGTAAGTAAAGATATTTGGCACAATTTGGCCAAATGTGCACTACTTGATGAAAAGGAGAAACTGCATAAAAACTATAAAACTTAGAAGTCTGAAACTTTAGACAGTTGTTGTCAACAACACAATGAACAGAGGGTTTGAATATTGTGAACTTACAATGAAGTATGCCTTTTTTAGGGCCTTTAGAAATTGAAAATGTTAGGCGAGGCTAAAAAAATTGGGTTTTTTTCCCTAACTTCAAAGGATGCAGAGGACAATAGGAATGACAAACATTATTTTAGTGTTTTTTTACATAAACTAGAAGGCTCTAGCTTTAAAATGATGCATCACACAAGCATGTGAGATGTAAGATGTGTTTTTAAATAAGCAAAGACATTTGGGTATGCCCAACCATTGTGCACGAGCCAAAATGAGGCGGATGTTAAGAGGTTAAGCCTTGTGATACAATTTTTCAGATAAAACCCCAACGCAGAAATGTATTTACAATTCTAGCAGGCAGTTATGCAGACAGTGGAGGCAGTGGAGGTGGTGGAGACAGTGGAGGCAGTGGAGGCGGTGGAGGCGGTAGAGGCGGTGGAGGCGATGGAGGCGGTGGAGGCAGTGGCAGCAGTGGCGGCAGGGAGCAGACCGACTTAACTGAAGCATAGACGGACATTGACCTCCTAAACCTCTCCCAAATAAATGATCGTCCAACATTGTGTGTACTGTAAAAGAGAGAACATAAAAGCCTCGCACTCTTTCCAGTGGATTGTATAACCATAAACATGACCTATAGTTCCTGCTTTATAACAAACCTTTACTCTAATATCTATTTTATCTTTTTAACATTTAACTTTTATTAACAACCTTGAATCAACTCTTTCACCTTCGTTCAACTCCTCCAAGCTGAAGGAACAGGTGAGGAATCACACAATCTATACATTACATTACAAGTGAACTATACAGTCTATTGCACATTGGTTTATATTATATTATATTATTTTCTAGTGCAGGGAAGCAAGCGGAAAGCTGCCAGCGTCTTTCTTCAGGAGCAACGCTCCCATTTATCAAACAAAGACATTCTTGAATTCTCGAGAAGTCATGGAGTTTTTCACTCTGAAGCCTGGGGAATACGTCATCATCCCGTCGACCTTCAGTCCCAATGAAAGTGCCTCCTTCATGCTGACCATCTGCTCCAAAGCAAAGATCCTCCAGCGGTACGCGATCCCCGTCCAGTCCAAGATAATACTAGAAATGTTCTCAATAATTATGCTCCATGCACAAATGCAAATCCGACTATTTTAAAGTCTGTGAAAAGTTGTACAAACATAAACAACATCATTTAGGTAGTGTAAGGCTATCCATTACTTGTAGTTTTTGTACGGTTAGAAAACTATGTTATGTTTTTAGAGGCACTACATCCACATGCAGATTTGGAAATAAAAATATGGCAGAAAGTTGAATTTTCTTTTTTTTTTTAAATGACTAAGATTTAAAATATCTTCTGATAACAGCACACCCTTCATATAAAGGGGACGTACTCATGGATGTACTTATCCAAACATGTATATGTCATACATTCAATTCCTTCAAATAATCAAATTTGTTACCTCAAAATAATAATGTTTCTCTAAATCTTTATTTGCACAAATAATGATGAACAACCACATAATACACTGTATATCAGAAGTCAGGAAACCTTTTAGCTGAAAGAGCCAAAAACTCCTACTTAAACATGTATTTTTGTGGGTATTGTGAATATGTGTGGTTAAAAAACTAAATCAATACATTTACAGTGAGATATTAGTAATGTCTTTTATGTATTAGAAGAAATCCAGTGCATAAAGATTCTCACTAAATCACAATCATAAAAAGAGCCATATCTGGCTCCTGAGCCGTAGGTTCCTGACCCCTGCTGTACATGAACAGTTTCTATATTACAATGTTTCCAAATACGGTTTAAGCAGATTCAGTGTTCTTGATTTATATTGCACATTTCAAAAACAAAATAATTTCTAGAGAACCCAAATTTGGGACTCACTCTGCTCTCTGATTGGAAAATCTGCTTGAAAATTGTAAACATGAATATTTTGGAAATCCTGACCATTGGTTTAGACTTTTCTTTAGAAAAAGTTAAATATGATTTGTACATGCGACAATCATCTGTCGGTGTATGCCATTTACAATTAATATATTCCATACTGAACAATACTGGGGTGACAGTAGCTCAGTTGGTAGAGCATTGGCCTTCAGGCCTGAAGGTCGTGGGTTCAATTCCCACCTCTACACCTTCTCCACCGACTCCCACTGATGACTGCTGTCGTTGTGTCCTTGGGCAAGACACTTAACCCCACTTTGCCCAAAGCCCCAACTGAAAGATCAAGGCCATGCTCACACTCATAGAGCAGCCGTCCTCCTGTGGACTCACCACCTGCAGAGGGTCAGTGAGGGGCTGGTGCTATGAGACTTGGGTGGCATCTCTGACTGTCACCCCCAGAAATGGATTAAAGGGTAGAAAATGGATGGATGGATGGATGGATATTCCATACTGTTCCTTTAAAGCAAAAACACAGTGCAATAGAAAAAGGAAGAGCAGAAAATGTTTTTTTCTACCCCTTTTTCTAAAAAAGAATTAAATTTAAAAAAGCAAGAATGCCACTCAACTCATGGTAATAGCTGTACAAGTGAGAGAAAAGACCTGTTGCCATGGGTTACGCTCCAAGCACCGACCAAAAAGACTGAAGTGGCTTTAAAACAACACCCTGACAACGTTGACACAGAAATATACTAATAAATCTGAGTTCATTTATTTTTGCTGTAATTCTTTCCCACAAAATAAACATATACACCCAATGTTCTAGACCCAGCCTAGTTAGTACTGAAATGATGTATCTCCTTACAGAAACAACTCCTCTGACTTTCAACGTGAACAAATAGAAAAGGTAAGCATGACCCGGTCATCATTCTCTATGCTCCGACTCACTGCGGTCCCATGTGTAGGTGAAGGCTGTCCCCAATGCTCTTGAAGTTGATAACTGCAAACAAATATTTCTGCAACACTGTGATACGGTATTTTTACTCATACCTGATGATTTACCTTGTTACACTGTTGGACTAAATCATACTCTTTCTTCAGTGCGGAGAGGTGAATGCTGAAGAAATACAGAAACTTCTCAATGAAATTATACTTGAGGGTGTGTATTGTAAGAGCAGAATTACTATGAAGTTTTAAAACACAATCGATCAAAATGTTTTCCTTGAATTTTGCAGGATACACAAAGTCTGGAATCTTCAGCATTGACGCCTGTCGCAGTCTGGTGGCCCTCATGGATGTATCCTACTTATTTACAATTCAGAAAAACCAAAACTAGACAAACAAAATAGTGTCTGTATGTCTTGTCTATTTGTTACCCCTGCTGTAAAGTCTTATATGTGCATAGATAAGGAAGGTCTGCACCGCTGTTGAGCCTCCAATATTTTATTTACTGGAAACACTGTAATGTTTCGGCAACAGGGAGACATTAGGAGATAAAAACGACACTTCTTTAAGATGCTCCATTTGAGACACAAGAATAGTGTGTCTTATTTGTTTATTTGTGTCTTTTAATCGGGAAAAACTCGGACAAGAAAATGTATAGTATAATGATTATGTTTATTGAGTTAGTTTGTTATACGATATTACTACAGTATTCTATGGTAGTATTTTATGGCAGTATTTTATAGCAGTATTTTATGACTGTATTTTATAACAGTATTTTATGGCAGTATTTTATAGCAGTATTTTATAGCAGTATTTTATAGCAGTATTTTATAGCGTATGTCCGGCTTAGAGAGCGCTAAATAACGCAGGGCACAAATTATGGCACAAAATGATGGCACTATCTCAAAATGAGAAGCTTGTGTCTCACATGATTTTAATCGGGAAAAACTCAGACAAGAAAATGTATAATAGTCATGTATATTGAGTTAGTTAGTTATACATCAGTATCAGTATTAGTTTGTGTATGATAAGACACACTTACTCCTGGAATACATAGTGGCATCATTGCCATCATTCATTGTCATGAATTGACACATGGAATATAAAAATGTCAGTCACTGTGGTTTGATGCTTTGAGCTCGGTAGAAATATAGCATGACAAAGGCAGGAGGGAATTGAACCGATATAATCAAAGTGAAACCACCCTGGGATCTAAATCTGGTGGAATCCAAAGTGATGAGCCAATGACACAGAAGAGTGATAGTCCATAGTTGAGGCGGTAACTGGGAGGAGGCGGGTTGCTGTATGAGCTGAACGCGTACATGCGGCAGGAATGCAAGGCTGTCTTTAAATGCAGCAGATACGGATTATCAGAGACATGTAGAAGTGAAGATTGAGGTGAAGAGGTGGGAGAGTGACCAAGCACAGAGATGTCTCGTCTTCTAACTCCCTAAAGCTGGGCATACACCGTGCGAGTTTTTTGTATGGGTAAGGTACAAGATGAGAAACAACCAAGAAAAAAAGGTGTGACCGCGCTGCTCTGATCACAGGCTTATGGTATCGAGGATACTCTGCTAGTAAACCATAGAGTGTAAATATTAACGGACATAGTGCCACCGCTTTGCCTTTTGTGAGATTTTTCAAATTCAAAATGAAAAAAAGCAAGCACTAGCCCCATTCATTTATTGAGTGCTTTCAAAAGTCCACAGCGGCTAAACTAGGGCGGTCCAAAAATAAATACTCCCCTCAGCATTGACAGCATCTGGGCCCAGAGCAACTTTTGGACTTTTGGAGGAAAGAAGACACCACACAAAAGCACTGGATAGTTCCTTCTGAGCCGGGATCCACCTCCACTGTTGTACACTCTAATGTAAATAAATACATTAGCAAGCCGTTAATGTTAGCCAAGCAGTAGAGTTACCTTAATTTATAGTCCAAGGAGAACTTTAGTTTGTGTGCCTCTCTGTAAATAGTTCAGAAGTTTTCCCTCAGCCCCTTCACACGGTGTTAGCATTATTATATAGCAGAATTTTATAGCAGTGTTTTATAGCATATGCACGGCTTTGAATCAGAATCAGAATCATTTTTATTGCCACGTAAGTAACAGGAAGTCACAGCCTTGGAAATTGCTTAGGCTCAGTGCAACAGCCAGAAAGAGATAATAAAAATAAAGAATAAAAAACACTTCTAAGGAATACATTTAAATTTAAAATAGGGTTACAGTTACTATTTACAATATACAAGTACACATGGTGCACACAATGTAAGGTGACAGCAGTACAGTGAAGTAAAGTGACGTATGATGGGCAGTAAAGTGACTTTATAAAGGGCGGGGGGACAGGTTAAGAAGTGTTCAAGGACTCCACAGAGGTGATGGGGGAGTCCATCACGGAGGGTGGGGGCGGGGGGACAGTGCTCTTCCTGAAGTCCACAATCATCTCCACTGTCTTCTGGGCGTTCAGCTCCAGGTTGTTACCACTGCACCAGGACACCAGCCGGTCCACCTCCCTCCTGTAGGCAGACTCATCGTTGTTGGAGATGAGTCCAATGAGGGTGGTGTCGTCCGCGAACTTGATCAGCTTCACAGAGTCGTGGCTGGAGGTGCAGTGGTTGGTGTACAGGGAGAAGAGCAGGGGAGAAAGAACACAGCCCTGTGGGGCTCCTGTATTTATAATCCGAGAGTCCGAGACATTCTTCCCCAGACGCACTCGCTGCTTCCTGTCCGTCAGGAAGTCAGTGATCCACCTGCAGGTGGAATCGGGCACGTTGAGCTGGGAGAGCTTGTCCTGGAGCATGGCAGGATTGTGTTGAAGGCAGAGCTGAAGTCCACGAACAGGACCCTGGCGTAGGTCCCCGGGGAGTCCAGGTGCTGTAGGATGTGGTGGAGGGCCAGGTTAATGGCGTCGTCTACAGAACTGTTCGCTCTGTAGGCGAACTGCAGGGGGGGGCGTCAGCACAGGGGGGGGGGGCTTCCAGATACTGCTTCCAGACAGAAGCAGTATCGTTGTTATCAAACTGCTCCTGTAGTCGTTCTCTGTGCCGGGACTTGGCTGCTTTCAGTTCTTTCCTGAACTGATATTTAGTTGCTTTGTAGCAGACTGAAAGCAGACTCCTTTGCTTTCCTGAGCTGCCGGAGTTTAGCAGTGAACCAGGGTTTGTCGTTGTTATAGATGACCCTGGTCCTTGTTGGAATGATGCTATCCTCACAGAAGTTAATGTATGACGTCACAGTGTCCGTGTATTCATCTGCCACTATCTGTGGCAGCTCTGAAAAGGTCCCAGTCTGTAGATTCCATGCATGCGCGCAGCTCTTCCACAGCTTCATCAGACCACACTTTGGAGCTCCTCACTGCAGGTTTCGAGAGCTTTAGTCTCTGTCTGTAAGCAGGAACCAGATGTATCATGGAGTGATCTGAGAAGCCGAGGGCTGGCTTGGGAACAGCGCGAAAAGCTCCGCGCACGGTGGTGTAACAGTGATCCAGAGTGTTCTCCTCTCTGGTCGGGCATTTGATAAACTGTCTGTATTTGGGTAATTCCTGGCTCAAGTTTCCCTTATTAAAATCCCCCAGGATAATAATCAGAGTCCGGGTATAAACGTTCCATACACAGTACTTGCTCTGCGAGTGCGCGCTGAGCCTCGCGCGCGTCCGCGCATGGCGGTATGTAAACAGAGGCAAGAATGAATGAAATAATTTCACGAGGGGAGTAAAATGGTTTACAATATTACAGAGCGGTAAGTCACGAAGGGCACAAATTATGGCACAATCTGAAAATATTCATGTGACAAATTGCACAGTGTATGTCCAGCTTATGCCCACTTTATGCCCTGCTTTTGTCAGATTGTGGATGTGTGTTCCTGTTTGCCTGTTTGCTTTCATGAAGAAAAACATCCTGACTATTTTTACAGAACTCTATCACAGGTAAATTAAACTTTGAAGAATTTTTTCGGCTCTGGAATAAAGCGCTTCAATATAAAGTAAATAAGCAGTATCCCTGTAAACGATTGCTTTAAACGACTTCAATGGAACTGATGGCAATTCTCTCTTGTTTTGTTCAGGAGATTTTCTGTCGAACAGACGTTTCACAAACCCGAAGCCTGTCACTGCGTGAGCTGAGGAACGCTCTGTCTCTGTCAGGTACAATATTCTTGGCAATCACAAGTTCAGACTGTGCTTTCTCGTATAAGATTTTTTCATTGTCAGATTTGAATCAATTGTTGTTTTATGGTTGGACTAAAATACTAAAACATTTTTCAGGAACTAAAGTGAGCGACAGCATGCTGAACCTGATGGCTCTTCGTTACGGCGCCTCCTCTGGTCACATGAGCCTCGAGAGCTTCATCAGCCTGAGCCTGCGACTAGAGTGCATGTCCAGTATGTGCAAACGCATACACACACACACACGCAACACACACACAACACACATGTTCTGATATAATTTCATCTCCACAGAAATCTACCGGAAGTTGTCAAACGGGGACGCCATGATTCTGGGGGAATCTGATGTGAGATTGTTTTATTATTGTTATTATTTTCATATTATTAATCTTTGTTTTCTTGTTTACATTTCCCCAGTGGATGCATCTGTGTATGTACACATGATCAGAGGACACTCAGATCAGACGACGGACATATTATTGATGAAGGAGTTTTTTTGTTCTTAATGTTATAATTTGTTTTTGCAATCAATAATGAGGAATGCATTCTCTAGAGTCTGTAAGAAGGAATGTTTGCATAAATGTAATGCACTGATTTTATTTAGCGTTTTTTTCACTCTTCACGCTTCATATGTCATAATTCTTTCACTCCATACACAATGGTGATAAACCTGTAGCCACAATCAGTGTGTACCATCAGCCCCTCCATCCACCTCCACTCTTTTACACATACACCAGGCTCATTCTAGGCAAAGTGGGTGAAGTGTCTTGCCTAAGGACACAACCACAGTTTGGCACTTTACAGCCTCAGCCACCCCACTGTGGCACCTGGTATTCCCAGAGGTCTCCCATCAGAGTACTAACCAGCTCCTGCCCTGCTTAACCTCAGAGGTCTGATGAGATCAGGCTTTGACCTGCAGATAGCGCAGAGTGTGTGTATTGTATTCTCTGTACTGTGAATAATGGATCGTTCTGAACTCCACTGAAGCAGAAATGTGCTCTCTGCCCTCTGAATGTGACGGAATGTTATAGACAAGCCTTGGATGTGGATTTGGACAGATTTATTTATATGTCTTTAATAAAGTGTTTTAATCATAATATGCTTTGATATTGCATTTGAGAACCAAGTTCCTCTGGGGCATTACTGCACTCATTCACGTTTAAATATCAGCAATAGTGGCTGACTTCCAGATCCACAGCTTGTGCTGACTTGACTTTAAGACTAAATCTATACACGCAACTTAAATCTGTGCCCACATGTGGATAGTTCCCTGGAAGACCTTAGACATGTCATGCCTTCACACCTCCCTGCAGCTGCAATGAAGAAAAAAAAGGCTATCATTGCTATCTCAACAAAGTATAAACTTGCACAAACATGTTTTTTTAAAGATAACCTTCATCTGAATCAGGTGGATGTACAGTCAGGAGTCTAGGGAAATGTTCCAAGCCCATCATGCATATATAAAGACCAGGGCTTGTCCTCTGAGACACAACTGATCTGACTCCAGCATCATGGCGGTATCAGGCGTGTGTCAAAGCATCCTGAATGCACGGCAAACTAAGGACGATTATGGAAGCCTGGAAGCTCCCGAGAAGTTCCTCAACCAGGACTACCAGCAGCTGAAACAGTACTGCCTGATCCGGAAGGTGCGTTTCATCGATGACATGTTTCCCCCGGACAGGAGATCCATCGACCCCACCATCCCGTCTACTTTAGACCTCAGCAAAGTGGTGTGGTGCAGACCCCAGGTGAGTGTGACAATGACAGTGGGGGGGACATGAGAAAATCAAACTATTCAGTCAGCTCAAACACAGCTTTCAGACACCACACATGTCTAAAATCATTTGTGTTTTTAATTCTTAGAAAATTGTTCCCAATCCAGCTTTTGTGGTGGATGGAATCTCCAGATTTGATTTTGGCCAGGGCGATCTTGGTGTGTAAATTATCAATATTTGCGTTTATATTTGCAGTTGTGTTTTGCTAAAAACTAGATAAGATGTGAATATGCAGCAATTTTAATCTTTAATTTCCAGTTGTAATAAAACATGTATTTGTAGGGAATTGTTGGTTTCTGGCATCCATCGGATCTCTGACGTTCCAGAAGCAAATCCTGGCTCAAGTTGTGCCAATGGAGCAGCAGTTTGATGACAGCTACTGCGGCTTGTTCCACTTCAGGGTAAAGAAGAGCTGTTTTTTTATTTTATTTTTAATTTTTTTTGCAGCAATGCACAGTACTGGGATTAACTCTATGTTTGGGTTTTTTCAGTTTTGGAGATTTGGACGCTGGGTGGATGTAGTTATTGACGACAAACTTCCCACAATAAACGGCAGACTTATCTTTGTCCACTCCACAGACCCGACCGAGTTCTGGCCTGCTTTGCTAGAGAAAGCCTATGCTAAGTGCGGTTTGTCTTTTAGTTTTGTGTTTGTGTACATGTGTGTGTGTGTGAGTATGTGTGTCCTCTATAACACTCAAGGCGACCAAAGTGCTTTGCAATAAAATCACATAAAATCCATTAAAAAATGTGTTCAATAAACAAAAAAGTTAAAGAATTAGAAAATAATAATACTGATTAGTTTGAACCTATAGGTAGATAATGAGAGCAAGTGCAGATTGTTAATGATGATTTTGTGTGTGTTACCGTCTTGTTTTAGAATACTTTTGTGTTTGTGTGTGTCAGAGTGTGTGGTTCCTACTCGGACATGAACGCAGGGACCCCAGCGGAGGCTCTGGTGGACTTCACCGGAGGAGTCCACATCTCTCTGCAGCTGAACAGTCCTCCTCCAGACCTGTGGGAGGTCATGTGCAGAGCAGGACGCTCCATTTCCATGATGGGCTGTGGAACTCTTCCCGGGGTAACCATTTCCAATCAATAAAATAAAATAAAATCAATCAATCACATTTTATATACAAACTAAAGTGCTATTCTTCCAAGAAATGCATCATACACAAGTGCTTTACAGCTAGGTTAAAAACAATCCAACATGGTCATGACCCCTCCCCCGACCACCGCGCAAAACACATGTATTAATAAGTACATACATGCACCGGCACACACACACACACACAGACACACACAAATTCACATCAAATGAGTAAAATAGATGCAACCAAGAACATGATTAAGGCTTTTATGTAAGGATTTCACTGGAGTTTCTAAACACAAACATCTAAGTATTGATTGTTCATTAACCTGCACTGTCACAACTAAATAAACCATACACTTATTTAACTGTGGATTTGAAAGAAAGATAGAGGGTCCTTTTTGTTTCCCACAGTGGGGATTGGGGAAGTTTCAGTTTGATGAATACACATACACACATCAAGGCATGCAGTGAGCATTACTTCAGCGCTCCTTATAGGCAAGGTGGGTTAAATGTCTTGCCCAAGGACACAACGACAGCAGACATCAGTGGAGTCGGTGGAGAGAGTCTCACGGTGGGCTCAAACACACAACCTTCAGGCTCAAAGGCGCTAACCCACTATGTAAATATTCTAAAATAAAATCTGCGTTTTGTTTTTGTTTTTTTTTACTTAAAGCTGAGGTGCCTGTAGCTTTCAAACCACGTCAAAATTAATGAATGTTATAAAAAACTCCATCTTCAAACTGATTGAAAACGGCCACAGCTTTCGATCAGTGTTTTCAAGACAGAAAAGTTAAAAAGTGGAGGACCCTAACTCAGCCAATCAGCTCACGGCCCAAAAGCGTCAAATTTCTTACAAGTATGCAAAAGATAACATGTTTTCTAATGAGGAGATTAGGACAGTATGAGTGCTCTGATTTATTCTCAACCAATTACTTTTACAAGAATCCTTCTGTTACAACATACAACATGTTTAATTGCTGAAGAACAAACAGCATAGGTTGAATTTGACCTTGGAATCTTTATTGTTAACAGCCCATTAAATTGTGTCCAATTAGTGGTTTTACTCATCTGTGATAATCCATCCATCCATCCATTTTCTTCCGCTTCATCCGTTGCTGGTCGCGGGGGCAGCAGTCTAAGCAGAGACGCCCAGACTTACAGTACCTATCCACACACACTTCCTCCAGTTCGTCCAAGGGGACCCCAAGGCGTTCCCAGGCCAGCTGAGAGACGTAATCCCTCCAGCGTGTCCTGGGTCTTCCCCAGGGCCTCCTCCCAGTGGGACGTGCCCGGAACACCTCCCCAGGGAGACGTCCAGGAGGCATCCGGAACAGATGACCGAGCCACCTCAACTGGTTTCTCTCGACGTGGAGAAGCAGCGGCTCTACTCCGAGCTCCTTCCGTGTGACTGAGCTCCTCACCCTATCTCTAAGGGAGCGCCCAGCCACTCTGCGGAGGAAGCTCATTTCGACCGCTTGTATCCGCGATCTCATTCTTTCGGTCATTACCCAAAGCTCATGAACATAGGTGAGGGAGGGAACGAAGATTGACCGGTAAATTGAGAGCTTTGGCTTTCGGCTCAGCTCCCTCTTTACTACAACGGTCCGATACAGCGACCGCATCACTGCGCACGCTGCACTGATCCGCCTGTCAATCTCACGCTCCATCCTTCCCTCACTCTTGAACAAGACCCCGAGATACTTGAACTCCTCCACTTGAGGAAGGATCTCTCCTCCCACCTGGAGAGGGCAAGGTACCTTTTTTCCGGTCGAGTACCATGGCCTCAGATTTGGAGGTGCTGATTTTCATCCCAGCCGCTTCACACTCGACTGCAAACCGTCCCAGTGCATTCTGCAGGTCCTGGTTCGTTGGCGCCAACAGGACAACATCATCCGCAGACAGTAGAGATGGAATCCTGTGGTCCCTGAACCGGACCACCTCCTGCCCCTGGCTGCGCCTTGAAATTCTGTCCCTGAAGACAGTGAACAGAACCGGTGACAAGGGGCAGCCCTGGCGGAGGCCAACATGCACCGGGAACAGGTCTGACTTACTGCCGGCAATGCGAACACAGCTCTGGCTCCAGTCATACAGGGACCGGACAGCCCTCAGCAGAGGAACCACACTGCTCCTCCTGAATCCGAGTTTTGACCATCGGCAGTAGCCTCCTCTCCAGTAGCTTGGAGTAGACCTTACCGGGGAGGCTGAGGAGTGTGATCCCACAATAATTGGAACACACCCTCCGGTCCCCCTTCTTGTAGAGAAGGACCACCACCCCAATCTGCCACGCGATGTTGCAGAGACGTGTCAGCTAAGACAGTCCCACAACATCCAGAGACTTTAGATAGTCAGGACAGATCTCATCCACGGCTTTTAGGTTCTTCTAATAAGACAATTAAAGCAAAACAAAGCTAGTACTGCTTAAATACCTGATATGTTTCGGCGGTACACTTCCGCCTTCATCAGAGGTGACACGTGATGGTGTGACGCGTCTCTTATCAGCTGTTGTTGCCGGAAGCAGTCAGTCTGACAGATCTCACAGATCCATCAGACTGACCACGTCCCCCGCCGCGCTGTGGTCTCTGGAGAAGTGAATCCCAAGTGTGAGCCAAGGTGAAGGCCCCCTCGTCTCTGTTGATGGTCCGTGTTCCCCGCTTCCTGATTTCGATCGCCTCTCGTATCCATCTTTTGTATTTATGTTCTTCTGTTCCTACTATTTTTGCATTGTCCCAGTCCATGATGTGATTCTCTCTTTTGCAGTGGTCTGATATTGCTGATTTGAGGTTTTCCAGTGTTGCCTTTTCCTTGGTTGCTCTTGTTAGTCGCGCTGCCGTTTCTTTTTCGCATTCCTTTTGATGTTCCTTTCTTCCATCAGACTGACGTGGTCAGTCTGATGGATCTGTGAGATCTGTCAGACTGACTGCTTCCGGCAACAACAGCTGATAAGAGACGCGTCACACCATCACGTGTCACCTCTGATGAAGGCGGAAGTGTACCGCCGAAACATGTCAGGTATTTAAGCAGTACTAGCTTTGTTTTGCTTTAATTGTCTTATTAGAAGAACCTAAAAGCCATAAACATAAGAAGACAGAATGAATTTTCTACATTTAATACGCAAAAGATTTGGAGCACGGTGTCTCAAAGCTTTCCGTCATCTGGAGAAGATCAAGAAAGCCCAAGCCCGCCAGAACAACCACCTGAGATTCAGCCTGAGATGCAGAGACGAAAAATGTGACTCCAAAGAGTCTTAAAATCAAAAACCCCATACACACAAGAAACGCGGACAGGATAATCAACAAAGCAAAACGGGATTTACTAAAAGAACGGATACGGATAATAAACATCAGAAGGGAGGCGCTAGCCAAGGAGTTACTGCAACAAACACGTATTTTTGAAGAACTATACCCCCTACAAGAGGAAGAAAAATTATGGATGGACAGACAATTACATGACACATACGAAAAAGAATTCGAAACAACCAAGAAGCGACAAATCGGTAAGCTAGATAAACTCATTACGAACAAAAGACAGCGCACACAGGGACCCAGTAATGATAAATGGCTATGTAATCTGTCAAAACGAACACTTACGGACACAGAACGAAACATACTAAAACGAGGACTAAATTTTGCCATCACACCGGACAAAATACCACACGAAGAGTTTATATTGGCAACGGAGTTAGTATGCAATAAGATACATGACCAGGGAAAAAAGGCAGATCTTAGGAACACAGTCACAGGTATACTCAAAGCAGCAAAACTACCACCCAGCAACATATCAAAAGAAGAAAGAAGGGCACTCATTTCACTCACCAAAGACAAACACATTACAATAATACCGGCGGACAAGGGAAGAACTACGGTGGTTATGGACACACAGGACTACGAGGAAAAAATGAACTCACTACTAAGCGATACAAACACATACGAAATATTAAAATATAACCCCACAGAGGAAAAGAAACGGAAACTGAAGTCATTACTCAAACCTCTAGCAGACGCAGGAAAAATAACCACACAAGCATACAACCATTTCATTCCCACAGCCAATATCACCCCACGTATGTATGGCACACCAAAAATACACAAAGAAAAAACACCACTCCGCCCCATAGTAGACAGCACAGGATCAGTCACATACAACCTATCTAAAGCACTAGTTGAAATAATAAAACCTCTCATTGGAAACACTAACCACCACTGAAAAAACTCAAAGGAACTGGCTCAGGAACTCAAAAACATATCAATCGAAAAGGACGAGGCACTCATATCACATGACGTTGTGTCATTATTCACCAAGACACTATATGCAATAATAAGCAACTTTTTCATGGAGGATTTAGAGGAGAGAGCCATCAATACAGCACCACAACAATACAAACCAACCCTATGGAAAAGATACGTTGACGACATTTTAGAAAAAGTAAAGACAGGACACACACAGGACCTCACTGACCATCTCAACACCATAGACCCAACAGGACACATACAATTCACACATGAGGAGGAGAGGGAGGGCTGCATACCCTTTCTGGACTTAAACATTCACCACCAACAGGACAGCAGCATCAAGACAACAGTATATAGGAAACCAACACACACTGATCAATATTTACTCTGGACTTCAGAACACCCCATTGCACACAAACTATCCGTTGTCAGAACACTATTTGAACGCCTCAACAACATCACAGAGGAAGAAGACAGGATAAAAGAAGAAGGACACATAATCCAAGCACTCAAGTTTTGTCAATATCCCAGATGGGCAATACAGAAAGGAAGACAACAGGTACTAAACAAACAGATCACACAAAAACAGAGAAAAAAGCAACCACAAAAACACAACGAACACAAAGACATAGTCACCATACCATACATACAAGGGGTCACGGAGCAGATACAGAGAGCACTCGGAAAACACAACATCAATGCAATTATCAAACCACACAAGAAGCTCAGACAGATCCTCGTTCACCCAAAAGACAAAATACAACCGGAAAAAAAGTGCAA